TGGAAACTGAAGAAGCACCTGCTGTTCCGTCAGCAAAGAAAAGCAAGAAAAAGAAATCAAAATCTGACACTGCAGAGAATGGTGAGCCTATGGCCGTGGACAACCCAACTGTAAGTGGAGGTGCTTCAGAGGATGCTAAATCAGAGAAGAAAAAGAAAAAAGAGAAGAGAAAATTGGAGCAGGAGCAGGCTGTCCAGAACTCAAATGTTACTAACGGGGTTGATTCTGAGCAGGACGGTACTGCCAAGAAGAAGAAAAAGAAGAAGAGTAAAGATCAAGATGGAGAGGAAGTGCAAGTCGCCAGTGACATGAAAAAGAAAAAGAAGTCAAAAGGTGAATAGTATTGAGTTTTGCTAACTGTTCATGTATCCGAGTTGTTTTTTATTGTGTAGAAGTGGCCCTCCGTTCACTCTGATCTCTGCACAAATTATGTTAAGATTAAATGCCTTAGTATTTCAACAAATGTGGAATTTTAGCTGGTTGTGTTTATTAATTTGGATTATCTTGGTTTTTTGTCCTCTGGATATCTATATTGTTGTAGTAGGATGATGATAATATCCATAACCAGCCAATATGTTGCGGCCTTGGATATATATTTTCGTTGTTGTTAAAGTTGAGATGGTTTATGCTAATGCTTTTATCAACTCCATGGAGACTTGTACTGCTTACCTTGGAGGTTTACCATTGAGTAGTTGAATGAATGATCTGTGTTTTCAACGATGAAAGGTTGGTTTGGAGGTTGATGATGCGTCTATCTTGGCAGCAGCTATCAAAAGCAGCAACACTGTCAAACCCAATTGCTGATTTGCAAAGATGGTCACTCTTAACCAGGATTGCCAACCTGCATGGTTGCATAGCTGGTGTCATCTTTAGAGAGAAGAGTTGGTGGGGGTGCCGCCATGCTTGGAATTTGGAAATAGAACTGAATTAACGGCTCAATCTACCCATAGGGCATACCCCCTTGTGGAAATAATATTAGAACTCGAGATTATTCAACGTGTTTTTTTAATTCAACAAACTTTAATTTGGTGGGAAGTCTACATCTGGCGAGTCCTATGAAATGTGTGATACGTTGTGCCAGGAATTTGAGTAGCCTATCGTCCTTCTATTTCCTATGTCCGGAAAAAAAGCTCTTCTGGAGTCCACAAGCTTTCAAATGAAGTGAATTCTTTCGAATCCCTATCCCTTGTATTCTGATTACATATTTCTTAAGAACAGTAATGTAATGGAATGGAATTGTTCCTTCCACATGATCTGAACTTATAAGCATCGAGAACGGATCATCCATCCTGTTTCAGGTTACCAATGCTTAAACCTCCTGAGTCTCTCGGGTTTGATCTTGAGTCCGCCGCTCCTCCAGCAGCAACCCCTTCCTTAGTCCTCTCACTCTCAGTTTCAGACAGGCCTCCCTCCAAGCTCACTCGCTCTCAAAACTGAAAACGAGTCAACGGCAGCCAGTCCCCCACGAGCCAGTCAGCCACCAGCCACCATCTCCATTCTCCATACCTCCTCTTCTAGCATCTCCCACTCTTGCGGCAAGATTTGAAAATTTGAAACACAGGATTTATCTCAGCTTTCTTGAAATGAATAAAGGGTTTTCTCTGTTTCGGTGGAAGACAAAGCAAATCTTTGCAATTACGACTAAAGAAAAAAGATTCACCAATCCGCTTTCTAATTTATTGCAGTCAAAACTATTTTTGGTGGAACTGGGGGAATAGGGATTGGATTTGTTTTAAGATTTTACAAATGACAATTCTGGTTTGTGGGGAATTCGGAATTCTGGTTTGATTTCGGTTGTTGTCGAACTTCGCTTGTGTTTGTTAAACAGGACATGATTGTTGTTGTACTTGATTCTTGTAATTTGTCAGGTGGGTATGAAAGTCCATACGATTTTTTTTTTACCAGTTGATGGATGGGCCGGGAACTCAGGTGGCAGGGCCCCCTTTTGAGAGAAATAATCAAGTAGGTTACTGGTGAACTGTGATATTATGGATGCCAATTGAGGCTTTGTTGGATTGGAGCAGCTTGCTTTGGTTGGCAAATGGGCTCGTTGAATCATAAAAGGTCAACAAAATTCGTGGGTTATCTGTAGTCAAGAACATGAGCATGTTGCTTCTTCTTCTTCTCATTCTTGATCCTATGGTGATGTTTTTAGCGTCTAACTTCTTTCTTTCTCAGTCATTTATTCTCCTTTTCTTTTTATTTTTGAGATTCTGATGGTTCTTGAAAATAGCCTCCTTGTTCATTGTGAAACTATGAGAAATGGTTTGAGGATGTATTGACAATCTTAATTGAAAACTGCAACTTAAGTTAACTTTAGTGATGCTGATACATCAACTAGGGTTTCTTTTGATTTCTCTCTTTTCATTTCAACGTCCTCTTGGAGTCAATAATGTTTTGTTGGTGCTGCTCAAATGATCAACGGAGGACACTTGTGTTCAGTGTTTCTTTTTACCTCTGCTGCTCTTCAGTTCTGCTTTTCGTAATTCTTATGTTGGGTATTTTTCTCTATCGTATCTTTCTATTTCTAGTTTGTTGGTATGTGGAAGACAATTCTAGGCATATGACTACATTAGGGTTAAAGGAATCTGAGAATTATAAGCATGCTGCTTCTGTTAATGTTAGTCTGTTTTTCCTTCTTTGCTACTTACCCTTTGTTATATTCTAACTCTGTTGGGAACATAGGATTCTTTGCTTTAATGACTGTCATCATGTTCGCAGAAAAACTCAGAAATTTTGACAAAAAAATCAGGAAAAAAAAAATCGGTTTAAACCGAAAACACTGAAACCAAAATAACCAAATCCCAATTTGATTCGGTTCAGTTTTTGTTTTTGATGGTTTGGTTAACCAAAAACTGAATGATCACCCCTAAATCTGATACAAGAAATTTTTCTTTATTTACCACAAATTAGTTAGTTAGTTGCGGTTTTTGCAGAGTATGTTTCTGATTAGTGATTGATTAATTAATTATGACAACCTTTTTTTTTTTAATATTCTGTTTAGAAAAGTTGTTGGTTGTGCTTCAAAATAGCATAGTTAATCTTTAGAAAGAGTGCAGTGCTCTTTAATTGCATACTGCAGCATCTGTTTGATTGACACGAAAACACAACTTCAGAATCATCTGCAGTGTCTAACGCTTATATTGTGCAAATTTGATGGATGATCAGGTGGAAATTTCCTGCCCACTGCATATGCATGCAATTTTCTAGTTTTTGATTGATTACAAGTGAATCAGCTATGCTCAAGGATAATAGCAACACCAGTGCACCATCAACACCTATTGCTAGGCTCCGGCATCGTAATTGCTCCAGTGAGGTTTGTTGCTCTAAGTTTGATCTATGTTTGTTTATTTGGAGAAGTGATTATAAACAACATTGATGTGCTAGATAGCTAGAGTGGTTTCTTTCATTTTGGAAGAACGAAAACGATGGGATTTCTATACTGAATCTTCTGTTTGGTCTCTTAGGCTGTGGGGCAGGCTAGTCAAGAAAATGGATGCCGTTCACTGGTTAATGATCAGAGCAAATACAAATCAATGTGGATCCGTGCTCAATCCACAATTTGGATGATTGGGAGCTTTGCGTTAGTTGTCATCTCTGTATCACTGCCATGGTGGTTGTCATCCAAATCTAAATGGCAAATGAGCTCTTCAATTTACTTAGGAAAGCAAATGAAAATCTGCAACTTCCAGGATTTAGACTGTTAAATGATATGAATAACTTCCAGGATTTCCATGAGCATATCAACTGAGACGCTTTGAGGCAAAACAAACTATTGATGATAGATGCATGCAAACACGGCCATCAGCATCTATATCAAAGTGTCAAATCTATCAGATAAAGAAAACATGTGTGGGTGTGGCATGTATCGCATACCAACGCTGCACTTGGGAGTACATTCTATCGATTCACAGGTTCTCATTTCAAACCTGCCTCAAGAGATGAACAAGAAATACAAGCTTGGGGAAATGAGGCTGACCGGACATTCCTAGGTTTACACAGAGCGCATCCTTAGCATGCTTAATTCCTGTCGGCCAGCATGTTGCGTGCATCTTTAGCTGAAATAAGGAGGAGTTGTATTTCCTTTCTTCGCACTCCAAAGCAAGAATCACCCTGTTTTTCATTCAATGGAAAACGGCTCAATCTAACCGAGATATATAACTAGCCAAACTCTCCACCAAAAATAGGCACTGACAACACCGTAAGGAAATTGCTAAAAAGGAAAAGAGGATCACATACGCATATATAGGGAAAAGAATAATGACAAAACCATCTTGCTATATATATATGGGTCGACCCTACCTAAATTCTTTTATTTTCTAACACTTACACATATATAGGGAAAGAATAATGAGGATGATTCCTGATTCGCTTCACAATTATCCAATGAAGTCCCTCCCGAAGACTTAAAAAGAACCAAAATTCAAAACACATTCTTCACAGTATTGTATTATAGATACAAAAAAAGAAGCTATCAAAACCCAAACTCTGTAATCTCAGACTTCCACCAAAGCATATAGATAATGGTACATTTTCTACTCAGACAAGAAAAATTTTGAAGTTCGATTATTTTTTTATTCTTAAAAAATATTATTTGCGGTTCGATTTTTAAATTAAAATAAAAAGAATTTCAGTTTTTTTTTTTTTCAACTGGATTAATTTTTTTGTGACAGGCAAAAGGTACGGAAGAAAAAGCAATATTGATGCCATAAAAAAAAAAAAAAAAAAAGAATTGAGGAAAACAGATTGGAGGGCAGAAGAGTAATTTAAAGAAGTAGTTAGAGTAGACCAGAACTGCTTGAATCTGAAGCATTGGAAGGTCCGAAGGGGTAGCACGCCTACCTACCCTTCTCGCTTTCACACCCACAGGGCCACACAGCACACAACCCTCTCTGCCTCTGCCTCTGCCTCTGCCTCTGCCTATAAACACTTCTCCCACATTTCTGTTTCATTAAAATTAAAAGCCTAAACAAAATCCATCCTTTCTCAACTACACAACAATGGCAAGCAGTGCAGCACCAAACTTGGAAGATGTCCCATCAACGGATCTCATGGCTGAGCTCCTTCGTCGCATGAACTGTTCCACCAAACCCGACAAGCGTCTCATACTCATCGGTTGGTATCATTTTCTTCTCTCTCTCTCTCTCTCTCTCTCCCCGCAGCACAAGTAAACTGCACTATGTTTTGGTTATGTAGCATGGGCTTCAATGCCTAAAGTTTTGGTCTTTTTTGGTTTTTAATTCCACGGTGCATTCAGATCCGGGAATTCTTTGTGGGTTTTTGGTGTTAAGATGTTTTCGTTTTCTTTTTGTTTTTTTTTTTGTTTGGTTTTTTCCTATTTCTTGTTTGCTTGGTTGTTGAGGTAATTGAGGAAAAAGGAAAAAAAGAGAAAGTAACAGCTTTTGCTTCTGTGACTTTGGTTGAGAAGTGGGTTTTTGCTTGTTTATAGAGTTGGGACTTCGAGAATAAATTAAAATCTTCTTAGTGCGGAAATTTTAGACTTGGGAGTATTTTTCTTGTTTTTTGTGCTTTTGATTATATTGAGAGGCGGTGTTTATTGAATGTAAAACTATAATTAATTTTTTTTTAAATACATTGTGCCCTCTTTGTTTCGTCAGTCATGCCAATTGTTTACTATATTTTCAAAATTGAATTGAAGGTTAATGATGCTGCGTGATAGAAAGAAGATTCGCAGTGTTTAGGGTCAGTTGTGTTTTAAATATTTTATGATCTCAGACTCACAAGATGGAATTTTGACATTTCTCGTTAAAAGGGGGCCATTTCTGAAAAAAATATATATATTGCAAAATTTCTGTTTGAATTCAGAAAGTTCACCTCATTGATCTCTCACTTATCATCTTTTATACTTTTAATCTAGAAAAGTAACATCTTACCTTTCAATGGAAATGCTTTGAGACAATGGCAGGATCATTCTTTTGTTTATGTCAATAAATAAAGGTTTTGATTCATTTCTTTGCGTCAAACCTTTTTATTTTCTTTCATGTTAATTCAGTAGAAGATTTTTTTTCCTCCAAATTAGTCTTGGCTAATTTTCATTCTTACCCCAAAAATTCATATCGGTTAACTTCCTCAGTAACACGTAACAGACCAATTTGCAGCCTTTTCCAGTTTCTATCCTATTGCTTGTTTTAGCATCTCTCTTGTTTCCAAAAAAAAAAAAAAGGATTGCTTACTTGGGAGTTAATATTTCAAATGAACACGGGCTACTTTGAAATAAATGTGGTTAAATAATTAGAATATGATTCAACTAGGAGGAGAAATGAATTGAACGAACTTGTGAATATTGAATATACTTTTTCGGTATAAACTTTCAAATCCATGATGTATCTTGAGATAATATCATGTGTGCTCCATAATGCTCCTGCAATTGACTGCCTCAGTACTTACTCATGTAATAACAAATGCATATTTGCTTATTCATATTGTTTGGTGAAAATTTTCTATTGATTACAGTATGTTTTTTAACAACCAATCAGTCAATTAAACACTGGCTTCAGTCAGAAAGCTTCCATGGTTGTAATCTTTTAGTTTTGTGATTGGCAGGCCCTCCTGGATCGGGAAAAGGTACTCAATCACCAATCATTAAGGATGAGTACTGCCTATGCCACTTGGCTACTGGTGATATGTTGAGAGCTGCTGTTGCTGCTAAAACCCCTCTTGGTATTAAGGCTAAGGAGGCAATGGATAAGGTTGAATTTTTCAACTATTCTCTGTGGTTCACCTTTGTTTTTTTTTTTTTTTTTTCTCCCCATAGTTTCTGCTGGTTTCAGCTAATGGAGTGTTTCATATGGTTTTCTCAGGGGGAACTTGTTTCAGATGACTTGGTTGTTGGCATTATAGATGAAGCAATGAAGAAACCTTCATGTCAGAAAGGTTTCATTCTAGATGGATTTCCTAGGACTGTGGTCCAAGCACAGAAGGTATTGTTATCTGGTTAGATAATATATGTGTGAGTTTGAATTAATATAAACATGTCAATGTGTGTTTTTATACATTTATAGCATTGGATGTAATCGATTGATTACTTTGTAGATGTTTCTAACCATTAATTGTTTACCTTTTATGTGCAGCTTGATGAAATGCTTCAGCAACAGGGAAGTAAAATTGATAAGGTGCTTAATTTTGCAATTGATGATGCAATTTTGGAGGAGAGGATTACGGGTCGCTGGATCCATCCTTCAAGTGGTAGAACCTACCATACGAAATTTGCACCTCCCAAGGTTCCTGGTGTTGATGATGTAAGGGAATATGAATGATCCTTCTTTTGCCTTTTTTTTGTTATCATGGATTTTGGATTGTGTATATTGATGATGGGAGAATGTAGGGGAAAAGAAACTGGTTGAAACATTTGTTGTAGATTTCGATATTTTCCAAATATGCAAGTCTGTAAAAGCAATTGTGAATAGTTCTTGGTAATAATGGTCTCTTACACTTGATGTTATTCTTATGGGTTGATTAGGCCAATAATGGCCCTGACTTGTCAATATTTAGTCTGAGTGGCGGTTTCCTGCTTGTATAGCTTAGAATGTCTATGGACAGGTTATTCAAAAAAACATTTACAGAAGAGAGTATTTGAAAATTAACTGCAGTTTTTAGAAGTGTTAGGGGCTGGATATGTCAAGAAAAGGTAATCTAGCCATTGATTATCTATCCTGACTAAAACCCTAGGTCAAGACATCATTGGTGTAGGATTAGGTAATTTAAGAGAGCTAGTAAAAAATTGTTCACAGGAATACCATTTGGAACCCACATTTAGGGTGTGTTTGGTTTGTGAGATTGTTAAATAATATAGGTTATTTGAATATGGTTGAGACTGTTTCTTATTGTGTTTGCCATAATGATCACTGTACTAGCTGCATCAGTGTTGTTGCAACTCAGTAGATGAAAATATGTTCACAAACTTGCTTCTCTCTTTTGATTTCTTGAAGGTAACTGGAGAACCTTTGATTCAACGCAAAGATGATACTGCAGCTGTTCTAAAGTCAAGACTGGAGGCATTTCACAAGCAAACTGAACCAGTAAGCTTTCTGCTTTTATTTCATTAACTTTGGTGACACGAGATGGGGTTGGATTCAATCATCTAGTCACCCGTGACAAAAGGGATGAGGATCCAACTCTTGTTATGGTATTTGGAGAGTTGGTAATTTCATGTTGGTGGGGCAATAGAGAGATGCCTGTTAAGCCAGGTTGGGAGAGTATGAAATTGAAGGGTTTACTTCTCCCTACTTTTAGGGCTACTATTTTCATGGGCATTCGGGTATCATGTTTATTTATAAGCACATTCTTGGCTGAGAAAGCTTCTGACTTGCATGTTCATTTTACAAGCTATCTGATATGAACACAATAAAAATGTTTTCTCACTTGATTCTATCAAGTGCCAAGTCTCCAGGCATCACGTGGTTATATGCCAATGTGTTTTTTTTTTTTTTTCCTGCAACTTGTGCTTGCAACCATTAATCTTAGGGCCTCTTTTTACGCATGTTTTGTGATAATTAAAGTTCTTTCATGGGCATGAATCATGCCATGAGAATAACATAAGCCCCATTGAGTTTCAATTAGGTTTTTTGGAATTGTAACCTTATAGTATGGCTGCTGATAGTAAGCAATCGAGTAATGATGATTACCAAGTCTCTGGATGGTTATCAAGCCAATTGAATCACCTCTTTGGTTTTTAGCCATATGATGTGCCTATGCATCTTGAATTCATCTCCATGGTTAATCCTGCCAGTGTCTTACCACATCGACTATGTCCTCTTAGTGCCGTACCGAAGTGTGATGGTATTCTGAATGCTTGGAATGCAGGTTATTGATTATTACAAGAAGAAGGGTGCTGTTGCTGAGCTTCATGCAGAGAAACCTCCAAAGGAGGTTACAAATGAAGTAAAGAAAGTGCTTTCCTCGTGAAACTGGGGCGGTTTCGATTCATCACATTTTATTTTTCCTTGGGACCTATGCGGATTTTGTTTTCATATGTATTGAACATGTTTTACATACACTGATCATTTTGCTGCCCTTTTATTTTGTTTGCAAATTACCGGCTGCCTTATGTCATTGAGGTAATAACTGAGGTCTTATAGAAATAAAAGATATTACAGGGTTGGCTTATTTTCTTTTTCTTTCTTTATCATTGTTGGTTTTATCAGTAAGGATGCTCTAATGCAGCAGGTTTTTATTGAGGAAAAACAGCCGATTCATCATTGTCAATTGTAGCCGCCTCTTTGGCTCCATGAAAACGTTGCAACCTGCCACCTGCCTGCTTCGAATCTATATGGCCCTAGGGCCTATACTTCTCCAAGTATTGTTCAAGCATTTGTAAATTGTAACCACCCTTTGCAGAAAGGCTATACGAGTACAAGCAGCCTTCAGAGCTGGTAAGATGCTAACAGCAAAGTTAGGATGAGTGTTTGGGGTTTGCTCAACCTGAAACTGTTTCTAAAGCTTCTTTAGGGCACTTTCCTCCTAAAGCTGCCACATGCAGAAGCATACTCTTTCGAAGGTTGACCTTGTAGCATAAAACTTAAAGAGCAGTCTCCAATTATAACTGAAATGTGACACCCCTTGCAATATTATCTAAAACACAGAAAAAAAGACGCAATTCATCCGACAGTATATCATTTACTACATCATAAGGAAGTAAACTTCAGCAATTGGGCACAAAGGACCACGTGAATAGTTATTTCATGGGTCTCAAAGATGGTAACGTCCAACAAAGATGAGGTACAGCGGCTTATATATCAACTGTAATCTTAGCATCCAGATGAGAGAACTCGTGGAAAAATGCCTTGAAATGCTCATAGGAATACTTGACATCATCAACAGCACACATTTCTCTTATACTGTGCATCGATAGCTGTGGAGCACCAACGTCAACAGTACGAATCCCAACACCGCTTGCTAGGATTGGACCAATAGTTGAACCACAGGCCATGTCATTGCGGACAACAAAATCCTGCATTTATAGTCATTTCAGAATAATCAATTCATCTACCAACTACTACCACCTACGTTACAACAAGTAATTTTCATTTCACTGACTATATTTTTCCCTTAAGTTTCCAGCCAATAGAGACAAATATTATAAAATTCAAAATGCCAAGAGAAGAAGAACGACGGCACAAGTCAGAGCTGCCATTTGTTGTATTTTTCATTAGTAACAGTCACTAACAGATTTATTTCCTTCACCAAATACAAAGTATTCAGGACGAAAAATCAGTGAGGGAATGTATCTGTTGCCAGTTTTTTTCCCGTCAATTTGAGCATCAAGTTGGTACCAATACTTGGAATCTCATTGTTCAGAAAGCAGAAATGGAGAGTAAATTGAACAGACTATATACCTTGTCCGATTCTTATAGAAAATAAAATAATTCAAACTCAACCAAACGAGTTATCTCCCTAAATATTCAAAGTTGGGAGAAAACTGACCTGGGTGGGAAGGTTGTGCTTCGTTGCTATCTCCCTAAATAAAAAGGAAGTGACTGCATTGGTTGCGTAGCGCTGATTTGCATTGTGTTTGAGGACAAGCCCTCCATGCAACTTGGGCTGATGACTATCTTCATGTTTGTCCTGAGAAACGACATCCCCCATATTAGAACAGACCAAAACAACAAATCACCTAAATGAACTATGAGACAATGTACCATATAATTAGGATGGAGAGCATGTGCCATGTCAGCAGATACAAGGTAACTCCTCTGGATCGCCTTTGGAAGCAGCTGGAAAAAAATCAAAGAAAAGAAACAACTATGATTATGAACCAAACTAAGATTTAATTTCAGGATTAATATCCCATTCGTTCATCACCCAATTTTTGTTCCTCCACATGGCCATGCGGGACAAACGCATAATCCCAATTGATGTGATAGCCCTTCCATATGGGGGATGGACTAACATCAACATTACTCACAAATCTTAAATGAGAAATTTGCAGTATCATTTTACTATTGCACAATTACCCAAATTCATCAGGTAAGTGAACTTCGTGACTTACTCCTAATTAAGATTCGTGAATAAAATAACTTCCAATCAAATAGAAACCAAAACTAATTCTTTTAAAACTATAGCACTCAGATAACAAACTCAGCTCAGAAATTCAGAACTTTCCCCAAATAGTAACTACAATTTTTTCCATGAAGCAGAAGTCACATTAGAAAAAAAAAGAAAAAAGGAGCACCTTGGAATCTGAGTTGAAGGAGCTTGTGATTCGTGATAGAGCATCTAACATGACAGGAGACCCGGCTCCTTGTGCTGAATCAGATCCTACCTCTTCATGGTCAAACAATGCCACCATCCTAACACCAATCTCATCCTCAAGGTCGCTTTCAGAAGATGTTGCATCTATCAGTGCCTGAAATTAAATTGAAATGGCACAAATAACAATCATTTTATGTGGGTCGATACTCTAAAAAGAGAAGACCAGCGTTTCTCTTATGCAAAAGTGAATTAACAATAAATGTGGATAGGATAATAGCAGCCATTTGGCTGCTGGATAACACAAACTGAAGTAGGTTGTCAACATGACTTATAACTGATCCAAATTGTTCAGACAATTACCAGTTTGGATCTTTAACAAAATTTTACTTCATTACCTCACCCACCCTAAGAAAGAAAAGGTAGCGGAAAAAATTAATTCTACCAATATAAATAATAAAAAGCATGGCTTAAACTCAAAGAACACTAAACCTCATATTCAAACTTAATCCCACTATCTATAGTGAAACTCTTATTCTACCGTTAACTTCCAAAATATAAAAGTAGCTGAAACTCAAATAGGACAAACCTACTGTTCAAACTTCAAATGAAAAATGATACTCCACACAATCATTTGACTTCAGCAGTTTAGCCAAAAATGAATTAAAACCAATGCCTACTACTCAGCACAAGCAAAGAAACTTTGAATTTGATTCATTCACTACACAAGAGAGGACACCATAGGTTGTGTGTTTAGTAGAGCATCAGGCAAACTTGTAGTTTAGGGACAGAAAGCCAGGGGCAATAGGACGTGATATCACATAAACCAACATAAGATGGTATTGTGTGTTCAATAGAAGGTCTGGTAATAGAAAGGCAATGCAGTAATAGGCATACAGGACCTGATATTATACAAGCCAACCTGATTTGCAACCTAACAACAGCCCATATACAAGTAATACCTTCAGAGAGCAGAATGAGCTGCAGAGGTTATCGAGCCTTCCGGAGAAAATAAATTCCTTTGCAGCTCCAGCTATTACACTTGGTTGAGTATCACATGCTTGTAATTCAAAGTCACATATATCATCTACTTTGCACCCAATCTGATTTGCAATCATCTAGAAGACAAGAAAGAAAAATAACAGAACGGCCATCAGAACATATATCAAAATTGTCAAAATAAACAGAAAAAGGATAAAACAAAAGAGAACATATTCTTTCTTCAGTTTACTAACCTCTAGTACAAGTGAGTGATGCTTTGTGGTAATCATTCCTTTATCAGATTTCTTCCCATCGGCTTGAGCTTCTTCGCTCTTAAATGGACCATTTTCAGCAACAACTACTTTATTGAGCTCTGCCTGTGAAAAGGAGTTTGTTAATAGAGAACAGAAAACATTGCAACAATATTGAGACTTCATCTCATACACTAGTATTCTAAAGAAATGTCCACTTTCTCACAATTAAGTTACCAAAATTTTGCATGCTTACTAGTGATCTAGCACAAATGCTTGGCAATCTGAAAAGTATATAAATAACTTCTGTTCGTAAAGCAGTAATCTTTGAGCTCAAAAGTCAAACAATTCTTTAAATGCATTAGGTGGCTTCGAGTCCAAGTTAAATCTGTAAAAAATAGATCTGGTCCATATTAAGAAGACACAAAGAGTCAAAGACATATATTTTAGAGTGTCAAAGAAATCTACAGTTCTTTGCAGATATTGAAGAAAAAGTTGGATGAAAATGATTTATTCTAACAACTAACTAAAGCAAAAACATCCTGTCAAGTGTAGGACACAATTTTTTCTCAAGGTTTAGTGCTAAGATTCTTTATGATCAGTTGCAGCGAATCTATACTAAAATTTCGTGAATCATAAAGGATTATGGAAGATCATGATCAATATCCATTTTATAGGAACATTATGGTTAGCAGTTACCACTAATATTTTGATTCATTGTTATTTTGTTTAACCACAACAAAAATAACTTCAACTGTAATTTTTGCAAATAGAATAAATGCACATACTCCAGTACACCAACAACCAAATGATGCAAAGCGTGTGTAATACCTTAATTGATGTTGCCAAGACAGGAAGAAGTTGACTCTGTGTGTTCACCTTAAATCCATCAGTATTAACAGTCCTGTTCAGGACATAACAGACAATAAATATCATAGCACCAAGCTACGTAAAGATGAGACTACTCAATCCTAAACCCATGAGAATCCCAGACGTTAATATCATTAACTAAAACAACAACAAACAAGTAAAGAAACCAATTTTTCTAGCAGCAAAACCTCTCCAAGTGAATTGCAAGCGTAGGTACACGCATAATGGGCTCCTCAATTCTAACTAGCCGATGCGAGTAGGAAACAGAACCATCCTTTTCTTCTCTTACAATCACCCTTCCTGCTATTGTCAAGTCACGATCGAACCATGTATGCCACAAACCACCTCCATATGTTTGAACTCCAACCTCCAAAAACCCACCTTTCGTTACCTGACCAGTCCATCCATTCCCAAAACAACAAATTCAGTAACTTACCCAACAAATTGCACAATTTTCAAGCAAAACCAACAATTGCTCAATACTTCAAAAATTTAAATAAAAACAAGAGAAATGCAAAATCAATATTAATATCACCTTGGAAACAGGCTTCAACTTGAGACAGGGACTATCAGTGTGAGCACCAATTATATAAAATCCATTGCCAGCTACATATCTAAAAAATAAAAATAATTAGAAAATATCAGCAATAAATAAGTGAAAATAAAAATAAAAAATTCATAAACAACCAAAACGAAGCAAAACAAAGGACCTTGATTTAGCCATCAATAATCAATTATGACTGAAAAAAAAATGTAAAATTTAAAAGATAACATACTGTTTATTGCTCAAAACAAATATTGAGAGAGAGAGAGAGAGAGAGTATAAATTCAAAAAGTTGACTTCTTAGTCTTATTCAATTTCTAAACAAACAAATGAAGGAGCTACAAAATAATTAATTGAATATGATTAAAAAATCGACGAAATAAATGAAAAAAATAAGACGAAGAAGTAGACATACTTTTTACCGAGAGCGAAAGCGACGATGGTAGAGTGATTCCTAGTGAAAAAATAACGGTTTCCAGATTCCAATTTCCAATCTTCTCTCTCAGAAACTTGCTCGTACCCTGCATTTCTCAATCTCTTCTTTGCCTCCTCTATCAAAATCAATCAAACAGATTTTACTTCATTTTTCTAAAAGAGTGAAACCTGAAAAGACTTAGTTGTTTTTTCGGTTAGTTAGTTACCAACGGCGTGAAAAGCGGTTGGAGAAGCGTTCAAGAAGTCGATGAGATCAGAAGCGACGGAGCATTCTTGCTTATTCGCCATTTTTTTGTAGTGCATCTGCTTTCAAACTTTCTATACGCTGAGCGAAGGTGCGCAAGAACATATATAGGGGTGGGCCTTGTCTGGTTGTGGGTATGGCGTGAGATTTACTTTACTAATGGCGTGGAATAAAGTTTAGAATTAGCTGTGGCCCAATACACTTGATTTTTCACATGGAATCTGTGAACTGTAATTACACGAAAGTAATCAAAGGTCAGGAAGGAATAAAGGTGAGGTTTGTGGAAGATTATCTGGAGATAGGGAACTTGGAATATATACCCACATGTACTAAAGGTTGAAATTTTTTATGCTTTTAACGAGACTTATTTGAGCTAGCTTTCACACCAAAATTGAGATTGTTTTGATAGATTGTTCATATTTGAATTGATGTTGGTGTAGCTCTATAACCCTTCCCTTACAAAAAAAAAAAAGATTTTAATGCCCTCCCTTAAAATTTGGGATATTTATGATTAATTTGAAGAACAAACAATATAGAACGAGGTATATATAAAATTAAGAATATAATAACACATAAATAAAAAAAATAACATTATTGTATTGAGACATATTAATTTGATTGTCGAATAGATTTGATCGAAAACTTAGTTTCGATATAGTTTTCTGTTTATTGAATTTTAAAAGATTAGAATCAAATCGAATAACAATTGTATTAATACATTTGTCAAAATTTTATTTATCTTTTTTTTTGTTCTTAAATTTGAAATATATTATGATATTTGAGATTGACAAGAATAAAAGTGAAATGTGAGTATGTAACTACTTTATTTGAATCATATAATGTCTTGTTTACTATCATTGTAAAAGCCCGTATAAATACTCTTATATAAATCGAGAAGCAGTATTATTGTTTTATTGATAAAATCGGTATTGTGTATTTTTCTTCTTTATTATATTGTGTTATCACATTGAGTTGTACCCAAAATTACCCAAGTGTTTAATGATCCCTAGATTTAATACTATATACTTGCTTTACAATGACCTTTAGGCAAAAGTAATGATGAAAAAAATATCTTACGTCAAATATAGTTAATTTTTTTTTTTAATTATCGTAATAGTTTATAATCTATTTATTTATGTATAGAAGGTGTGGAATGTAGGAGATGGTTGGTCATGTTATATAACCCTATTATTATTCTTATTATTACTACTAAAAGACTTAAAATGAGTACAAACTGGAAAACCATGTTTTACCTATTTTGAGGACTTAACACTTAGAGGACAATTCAGGGTTAAGAGTTTCCATAGCAAACGTTTCTTTCTTTCTTTTTTATTATTAATTTCTTTTCTTTTTCTTCCCGTTCTCTATTGCCACCCTCTCTCCTCCTCCACCACCAAAGAAAAGAAAAACCTTTCGATTCTCGTTTAGAGACATACTAGTAAGTTATTCATGCTACGTTGCGAATTGAAAAAAATAATTATGATTCAATGGTTCTCGCCACTATAGGTCCACTAAAATATATCGAAATCAAAGACAAAAAATTCACTTAACTTAATGGTTTTTTAATCACGATTTTATACTTAATTAATTCTTTTTTATTTTTAATAGGTTTTCTTCTTAAAAAAACATGATTTTTTTTATTTATGCATGAGTTCTTGAACAAAAATTTGTAATAATCTAATATGCAAGTTTTAATTAATAAAAAATCTAAAAAAATATATATCCGTAAATTTAATTATTTATTTCATAAGTTTGCATTGAAAAAATAAAGCAATAATTAATTTTTAAAAAATTGTAGAATTTTTTTAAATTTAAAATAAAATTTTATAATATTGATTAGAAGATTAATTATTTAAAGTGTGCGTGTGTTTATCCATAATAACAATAATATTAGCATAAAAAAAAAAAAACTCTATTTAAAAATATGGTATCATCAAGCTTTTTTAAAAATTATTTTAATTATTTTGTTTGAGAGGAATTGATTTCAAAATATCAATTTAACAACAAAATAAATGTTACATGGATTAACTATCTAGTCAATCATAATAGGCAAATCCAGAACAAATTCACTAGAAAACAATAATTAAGTGGGTCCTTTAACGAGTGGTAAGTTCTTATGGTGAGAGAGTTGAGACTAAAAAGAAAAAAGAAATAAAGTAAGAAATTCAAGTTAGTAGCATTAAATGCTCTATCCGATAAAAAAAAAATAATAACAAAAAAGAATTGAGAAACCAAAAATAAAACAGGAATCATAAAAAAGCAGACCTTGTAACTTCATAAAGCTACCAAGTGGCACAACAAAAAATAGCAACAAAATAAAAAGCGATAAAAAAGACTATAAAAAAAATAAGGTTGATTTAAATACCAATTGCTACGATAAATGAACAATGTATATAAGTGTTGATAACAATAAAATGAATAGTATTTTCTCATCTTGTCTTAGTGTTTTGTTAATTACTCACAATAAAATAATATAGAGGATTGATTATAATCAACTCATAACCTTCAATCTAAGTAATAAAATCTTACCCCTAATTATTTACATTAGAAAAAGGATCCCTTAGTTTTCCTCATGAGAATTCCAAAATTCCTTCATAACTATGCACCAAAGTGATATTTGTTTTAATTCTCTTTTAACTATGTACTTTATGGAAAATTTGGGCTTTAAGCTAAAGCAAGAATGTTGCAATTTCGACAGATCAAACCCCTCAATTATCACTACTATTGTTACAAATTAGTGCATCTTCAAACCCCTCAATTATCACTACTAGTGTTACAAATTAGTACATCTTATCTATTTGGGTAGTCCTAGTCTTCTAATCGAACAAGTTAGTCCTAGTCTTTTGGTAGAATAAATCGGTTCTAAACTTCGGTAGAATAAGTGAGTAACAAATTAAGTTAATTAAGATTATTTTGTTAAAATAATCGAAGAGCTTTAGGAATGTTTGTTAGCGAGTGGCTATAAATATAGTCCGTACAAGATATTTCAATCATCAAAGTCAAAATACAACAAACACGTACTTCTTTCTAGTTTTCTCTTCGTTGCATCTATTTCTAATTCTCTAGTTACGGACACTTCTTTCTCTTGTTTCTTTTCTTTTTGTTTTATGGTATCAAAGTCAAAATACAACAAATGTACATTACTTTGGGGTATTTAGATTAATTTTTTATATTCATATTCCAAAATCTAACGAGCTAAACTTGACCTAAAAGCAAAAAAGTGTGTTTTTTGTTGGCTATGATTCATGTAGGAAATGGTGAAAGTGTATGGATTGATAAACAAATAAGTTTATCACTTCAGAGGTGTGGTATTTGATAAAGTATCATCCTATTACTCTTACTACAAAAATTCCATTCAAGAGATTACTCTTGATGAAGATCAAGAAATTATAAAGTTGTTTCTTGAAAATAATGAGTAAGCTCCAAACAATTTTGAATGTCTTAATACCTCAAATTTAGGCAATGTTAAACGACAAGCTGAAATGAGATCTATAAGGAAGAAAAATATAGCCATCCTACCTTAAAAACTATGAGGTGCGACTCAATCGTTATATTGTCACTTTATGCTTATTTACGGGAGCGATAGATAAAGGTGAACCAACAAGTTATTAGAAAGCCAAACACCATTAAGAATGGAGAGCAACTATGCAAGAAGAAATTGAAGCATTAAATAAGAATCATACTTGGGAGTTAATGCCCAAACTAGAGAATTATAAGCCTATTACTTGCAAATGGGTTTATCGGCTAAAGAAAAATTAGATAGCACTCGCTGATAGGTGAAAAGCTTGACTTGTTGCACGTGGTTTCTCTCAAAGTTGTAGACTGGATTATAAGGAGATGCTTAGTCCGGTTGCAAAAATGGATGGTAACAATAAGGTCCATTCTTGCCCTTGTAGCTTTTAAAAATTAGAAGTTATGACAACTTGATGTAAAGAATGTCTTTCTTCACGAAAAAATAGATCGTGAAGTGTTTAGGGAACAACCTAGACATCATGTTTCTAAGGAGTAGTCTCACCATGGTTGTCGGTTGAAAAAGACATCATATGATCTTAAACAAGCATCACATGCTTGGTATGGTAAAGTTACTCTATACTTTATCTTTTATGGATTTAAAGTTTCGATACTGATTCTAGTTTGTTCATTAAATAAGAAGTAAATATACATTTATTAGTCCTATTTTATATGGACGACATGATAATTACTGGTGATAATGAAGCTGAGATTTCAATATTAAAAAATGATCTATCTCGTTCACTTTGAGATGAAAAATTTAGGAAAGGTTGGTTGTTTTCTTGGTTTGAAAGTTGAAAAATCAAATCAAGGATATTTCATCTCTCGGAAAAGATATGCGAAGGAGCTTTCGTAACATTTTAGCATGGGGGAGTCAAAAGAAAAAGCCACTCTAAACGAGCGAGCATCTCAAGTTGATGAAAGATGAAGACAACTTATTGGTAGTTTACTTTATTTAACTCGTCACAAGACTAGAGATTGCTTATTTTATTGGTATAGTCTTTCAATTCATGTAATGTCCAAGAACTTATATGCAGCAAGGAGAATTATACATTATATAAAGGGCTCTATTGATCATAGCTCGTGTACAAGCAAAGTAAAAACTTATTGTTAAGCGAGTTTCATAGATGCAAATTGGAGAGAAAATGCAAACGATAGACATTTGACTTCGGATTATTATTTCAGCACTCGTTAAACTATGATATCTTGTTGTAGCAAGAAGCAATATGTGGTTGTTTTATCTAACACGAAGCAAAGAATGTGGCAACAATCATGGCTACACAAGAATGCATATGGCTAAAAAGAATGATAAGAGACATGCTATGCAAAATTGATTATGCTATGCAAATTAAAAGTGACAATGAAAGTGTCATCAAACTTGCATCAAATCTAGTTTTGCATAGGCGAACAAACCATGTTGAAGTTTTTCATCACTATATGATCAAGAAATTGAATTAAAGGGTGTCTCTACAAATTATCAAGTTGCACACACACACACACAAAAGCCTTAAGGAAACCTAAGTTTGAATATCACAAAGCTGCTCTTAAAGTTGTTGACCATAAGCATGCACTAAGAAGGAATGTTATAAATTAATGCATCTTACCTTTTGTTATTTTGCTTAGTATTTGGATAGTCCTAGTCTTCTAGTGGAACAAGTCAGTCCTAATCTTTTGATAGAATAAATCAGTTCTAGTCTTTTGGTAGAATAAGTCAATAACAAATTAAATTAATTTAAATTATTTTAAAAAAAAATCATCGTAGAGTTTTAGGAATGTTAGCAGAATGGCTACAAATATAGTTTGTACATGCTGTTTTCAATCATCCAAGTCAAAATACAATAAATACGTACTTCTCTCCAGTTTTTTCTTTGTTGCATTTGTTTCTAGTTCTCTAGTTACAATACACTTCTTCGTCTTGTTTCTTTCTTTTTGTTTCAACCAGTTTGTTTCCAAAAATTGCCCGAATCAATCCTTCTTTTCTTGGAGATGATGATGATAAATCCGTAAGAGATGGAATAGGCGTGATTGGTGAGAAAGGAGAGAATTAGCATATGGAGTTAATGGGTTAGCTAATCTGCTCGGTGATGACCCATAAAAAAATAAGGGCAATGACAAGGCTTTTTGTGTGCAAAAAGATTGATTATTCACACCATAACCATCCTAAAAATAAAAAACAAAAACAAATTATTATATGAAAAATCAAACAAGAAAAGAAACATAGGCATTGATAATGTTAATAGATGATACAAAAACAAGCTACAATAAACTCTTGTTCCTCTATTAACAACGAAAACTAAAGAGAGATTCCTTTTCTTTTTTTTTTTTAATCGTGAACTATGCTAATGACTTGGTAAATTATAAATTAGTCTATCTAATTTTACAAAAAAAATTAAATATTTCTTTTTATTTTAAAAACTAATTCATTAATATATTCATCAGTGTTAGCTATACTTAATTTAATGTTAATTTATTTCAAAAAAAATAAATTGTTTTCCTCGTCAATCTTTACATATTATCTACTTTTTTTTAATAAAAAAATTAGAAAAGAATATATTATATTTATATTAAATGAAAAAACTATATAGAGATATTAGTCGAATTTAACAATATTCATATCCTATCTATGACCCAACCAATAAAGATTTTAGGTATCAATTTATTTCGATTCGTGTAGGTATGTAAGGGTTTTGGGATATATGGTCATCCATGAGTATTTAGCTTCATATGGACTCGACCGTAGGTCTGCTTCGCCCGCGAAAATCAACAGAATCTAACTGCCTAATAAGAGGATGACCGAAAAACCCTTTCCTTGTAATCTTATTATTTTTTATTTCTTTTTGATAATGCGTTTCCTGGTCTTCTCAATCCACAATAAACAGGAGGCATCTTGGTCTTTTAGCCTCCGTTTTCCCTCTCCAGTAACTGATTCAAGAATCACAAAAAGACTCAACCAAATCAAACAAGGTCCAAGAAATTCCAAATTGCAAAGAAATTAACACAAGCAAAGCTTCCATGGCGAAATCAAGAAACTTCAGGAACCCGTTCTTTACAATGTCCTCATCACCAGTTTATCACTTAGTCTCTGCCTCTCCATTCACTTCTCTTCTTTTCTCTCCCAAGAAAAGCCCAAGAAACTACAACAAACTCTTAACACCACCAACTCTATGCTTAATTTCACTTCTTGTTTCCTTCACTCTCTTAGGAGTTTCCATTCTTGGCTTCACACCCAATTCTCAAGATTCACTTCCATGCTCTCTTATCTCTCCTTCGTCTTCACTTCCATTTCCTTCTATGTCCATTTCATCAATCCTTTTGACTTCCCTTTCTTCTGTTGTTCCCAAGAATGTGGAGGATGAGCCAAGAATGGCAAACAGTTTAATGACTCCATTACCACTGCAGCCAGTTACTGGTAATGTGTCAAAAGAGGAGAAAGAGTTCTGGGAGCAACCGGATGGAGAAGGGTACAAGCCATGTTTGGATTTTAGTCTCAAGTATCGAAAGGCATCTGCGAGAATTTCAAAGGAAAGAAGGAGGTTCTTGGTGGTGGTAGCCTCAGGGGGATTGAACCAGCAGAGGAATCAGATTGTTGATGCTGTTGTTATTGCAAGAATTCTTGAAGCAGCTTTGGTTGTGCCTGTTTTGCAGGTTAATCCAATTTGGGGTGATGAGAGGTAACTTGGAGAATGTTCAGGATTTCTATGTGTTATATAGGACCTTGTTAATTGCTAATTTTAATGAGAAATTGAGGATTACCTGCCTTCTTTGTTGATTATGGCTGTCATCATCAGTGAAGCATTTTTTTTTTTTATTGATTTCTCTGAAATATCAACTATCTGGTTAGTGTTTTCTTTTCTTCTATACTCTCCTGAATATATTTCAGTGATAAATGATGTATTTGGCACCAGAAACAATAAAATGGCTATCAAAACTATTAGGGTATTAATTTCTCTAATATTTGATCACACAGTTTTGAACTCTCATGAATAAAAAATGTACGAGTTGTCCTATGATCTGTCTGTTTTCCAAATTTCAGTGAATTCTCGGAGATTTTCGATGCTGAGCATTTCAAGAGAGTTTTACGAGCTGATGTAAGAATCGTATCATCCCTTCCCTCCACACATTTGATGTCAAGGCAGTCTATTGAAAATCAAATTCCTTACGATGTTTCACCATATTGGATCCGTGCCAGGTTCTCCAGACTGGTAAGGAAAAAATATGACTCTTGTATGCTTTTCTTTTCATTAAAACTTGCTCAGTCTTTCATTATTATATTACATTAAATCATGATAGCTGAATTTCCAACTTGAAACAGGTATGGGTTTAAGAGGCTGAAATCAGAAGTTTATTCTTGAATAGATGCTAAAATTTTGTGCATTTTGGTCCTATTAGAAAAACAGCTATTAGTTTAAGAGGCTGAATCAGAAGTTTATGATGGAATAGATGCCAAGATTTTGTGGATTTTATAGTTTAACATGATTTTGTATATGGTATGTGCAACTGAAAATGTTAAGATGGCAGAATAACAATCTCTCAGGAGGCCTTTGAGGTTGTTTTCGAACACTTCTTCAGACTCTCAGTAGAGAGAGAATTTTCTTTTTTATTACTTTTTTAATGGTTTGCGCAGCTGAATGATGAAGGTCTGCTTATACTAAAAGCATTAGACTCCAAACTTTCCAAGAATCTTCAGCCCGATCTGCAGAAGCTGCGATGCAAGGTAACAGTTACGATTGAATTCCCATCAGACAGAAAATTCTAAAACTCAAGCACCAGTAGAACTGCCATATTTTTCTTTAAGGGAAATGTCTTGCGAATTGCAGGTTGCCTTCCATGCATTGAGATTTGCAGCACCAATACAGGAGCTTGGGAATAGGCTTGCAAGGAGAATGTGGATTGAAGGTCCATATATTGCCATCCATCTCCGGTTAGAGAAGGACATCTGGGTCAGAAGTGGATGTCTAAGCGGTTTAGGCCCAGAATATGACAAATTCATCACCAAACTACGGGAGTCTCGACCTGAATACCTTACTGGAAGGTTGAACATGAACCATGTTAGTCGAAGACTTGCTGGTCTTTGTCCCCTTAGTGCATTAGAAATTGCAAGGTAAAATCACCAACATAAATTAGAATTCTACAGGGAACTTCTCCGTTTTCAGACTATGACTGGAGACAGATGAATTACTGCAGGTTTTTAAAGGCTTTAGGAGCGCCAAGCACTGCTCGAATATACATCGCTGGAGGAGAGCCATTTGGGGGCAGCCTGGCTCTGGAGCCACTTGTTGCTGAATTCCCAAATGTTGTCACAAAGGAGATATTGGCAAAAGGAGGGGAACTATCCCCGTTTATCAAGAAGGCCTCGGCTCTGGCTGCTATAGACTACATCATTTCATTAAGCAGCAATGTCTTTATACCTTCCCATGGAGGAAACTTTGGTCGAGTCATGCAGGTAAGTGGCTGCAAAATTTTATGCAAACTAATTCCATAAGAACTTCCTAAATGACTTGCATTTAGCCTTAAGTGTAGATAATATCAAGTGTCTGCAGTGCTATGATGTTAATGTAACCTGTTTTTCAATCATTTAACTTTACAGGGTCACCGGGCTTACGTAGGTCATAGGAAACACGTACGGCCTAACAAGCGAGCCATGCTTCCTGCATTCGAAAACTCCACCTTTTCATCTGCTGATTTCGCAGGCATCATCAAGATGCTGCACAAGAAATCTCAGGGCCAGCCTGAGCCTAGAACTAACAAGAGAGACCGCGATGTGATTGCATATCCAGTTCCTGAATGCATGTGCAAGCACAAAACACCAATTTTTTGAGCTACTCAACAAGTAGACTGAAGTTGTATGCCATTGTAATTGCTTTGTACTCTTTCTTTGTTTCCACATGTACAACAACTCATGTATTACCATTTTGTTCATAGTAAATTTTTTCTACTTAGTAAAAACCAAGCTGCATAGGAGCTTGATAATTAAACATCAAGTAGCAAACTCAACTCTTCCTTCTTAATTCTTATGCAAATTAGGTGTCTGATATTATAACTGGATTTGGCCTCATGCAAGAAAGGTCTAATCTTTGGCTGGTTGGAGATTGGAGGAACTGTTTGTGTTGTAATCTTTTCAAATAATAAGAGCGAGGATTGTATTGTACGGGAATTGAATCCTGATGGCAATTATCCTGCAAAGACTGCTAGAGATTTTGAATCTCATCCTGTAAAACTCCTTGGATTGTTGGTGAATTTAAAGCATCAAATTCTTACAATCAACTAAATATTAGGCGTTATCTGATGGTGATCTAGTAAAAAGTGACAGATTTTTTGCAAAAACTGTCTCAAGATTACCACACCAAAAAAAAAAAAAAAAAATGACTGCCAGATATTTTGTCCTGAGTCAGAGGGCAAAAGACCGAATGGCAACTAATTTTGTTCTAGTAGGTTTTTCTTATTCAGTGGTTATTTCTTTTCTTCTTTTTTTTTTTTTAATGAAGATATTCGTTTAAGTAAAAGAAAAATTTATTATTTAATCCCTGCATTTTTTGGCAAGATAATTAGTCAGTCACTTCAGCTCAAAACACCTAATAATGAATCCCTATATTTTTATATTTGTTTAACTTGATCATTTCCTTAATTTTTCATGACAATTTTATTTTATTTTATTTTCCTAAAATATCGTTCATTTCTAGTCATATTTTTTAATCTCACCAGCTACAAAGTACAAACAAAACGAGAAGTACTTTAAAAGGCAATTTGAACATTCAAAAGAATAAACGGTCAAATGATTTTCAAAACTAGAAGGACTAAAATACAAAAAAAAAGTACAGAGACTAAACCATAATTTACTCAAAAAAACGTGTCCGTTCCTTTATAATCGGCCCTAACTCGACTTTTCAAAGTCAAAACAGCAAGATTTTGACGGAGGTTGAAATAATTAAGCAAACCAAAGAAAACAGCTAAACTGAAAATGGACACGTCAGCTGCAATGCTATCAGTGACTCTGACGCCACTTGATAAATGACAAGTCGTCCTATTGCTCAACTGATCCCCACATTATTCTCTCTCCCTCCCTCTGTCTCGCAGATTTTCTTTTCCCCGATCATCTTCAGCTTCTTCGGCGATCTTCTTTCTGGTACGCTTGTTGATGCTCACTCTTATAATTTAAATACATTTACAGATTTATTAATCACCTTTTTCTCTACTGATTGCTCCATTTATGTCGTTTTATGATGCTTCTTAATCATGGATTTTGCTTGGTTTATGCCAAAAGCATTATTTTAATCCTGAGATTAGAACAGAATCCAATTTAATCGAGTAAATTTGATGTGAAGTTTGTATTAAAGTGGAATTCATTTGCTTTTCTTATTTTCTTTTTGTATATATTTATAATTTTAGTGACATATTGGTGCTCTTTTAACTTTATCTAGGGCGGTGCAATTTTGAGTTTCTTATCTGTTTGATTCTGCGGACAAATAGATATGTTCTCTGTGTGATTATTTTTTACTCCGGATTTGTTTTATTTTGGATTATCTGATTTTTTTTTTTTCAAGTATTGCTGAGGTATTGGAGAGGAAGCATTTGTTGTCAATGGCGGCTTCCTTCAAAGCATTCTTGAACAGTCCGGTTGGTCCGAAGACAACTCACTTTTGGGGACCTGTTGCCAACTGGGGTTTTGTTGTTGCTGTATGTTTTACCTCTCTCTCTGTCTCTCTCTCTTTTTTTCCTAGGTTTAGATTATACGGATATCCCTTTTTTATATGTTTTATGTTCATACGAGATTTTAATTCTCTACTCTATGACTTATTGTGATGATATTTGATCTATTGAACAGGGGTTGGTGGATATGAAAAAACCCCCAGAAATGATTTCTGGAAATATGACAGGAGGTAAAAGAATTCTGGTATTGAATTTGCATGACTAGTGGTGTGGATGGTTGAGGTTCTAACCTTTGTTATGGGTGCTTCAGCTATGTGTGTTTATTCGGCATTGTTCATGAGGTTTGCGTGGATGGTACAGCCTCGCAACTATCTACTTCTAGCATGCCATGCTTCAAATGAGACCGTGCAGCTCTATCAATTGTCCCGCTGGGCAAAGGGTCAGGGGTGAGTAACTTAGCTTGTTTGTGCTGAATTAATTTGTTCTTAATTGCAATATGTCTTCTCATTTTCTAGTATCCCTTGCTGTAATATTAGAAAAAACAAAAACAAATATTCCTGCATTTGGTCTGGTTGGAGCAGTGTCCTCAAGGGATAAATTTAGGAAAGTTTTTTCTTTTTCCCCCTTTGGCTTTAGCATTTTTTCAAGAAGTGAACTCAAAATCTGTGTCCTAGTCTAATAAGCGAGACATTCACCATTCCATCAAACAATGAACCCTTCAAAATATTGACAGTTTTGTTATTTTAATTAATTTTTTTTTTTTTAAATTGACATCAGATGATGCAATAAGATTGGTTTTGCATATTCTACTACCAATGGTTAGTTTGATCTGCCAAGTAAACCTTGTGTTTGGAGGAGGGGAGTGTCATTGGATTAAGAATGGATGCTTAAACTCAGACTGGGTTATACATTCATTTCTCTCCACTGAACTGATATAACTTTTGATAGATGTTCTATGCTTTATATAGAGCTATATTTTTATGATCTGAATTTCCCACAATTAGTTCACTGTTAGGCATTTATTATTATCTTCATTTTCTATCTATTACCGTTGAATCATAATGCTGCCATCACACACAGAAATTCCACGGTATAACACTATTTGTTTCTTTATTCTTTCTTTTAGGTACTTGTCATCGGAGAAAAAGGAGGAAACGAAATCTCAGTAACTTGATGTAACTGCTCTTTTTGTCCTGTTTCCAGTTATTTTTATTGTCATTTCTGAAGAAAGTTGTAATTTCTTGTTTAGAATCCTTTGGATCGGCTTGCATTTGAGCTTACCACATGTATAACCATGCAGCAGCTCGTTTCTCTTGTTGGTTTTTACCCCACAAGCCATGGTGCAGATTTGCCCTCCATTTTGTCTACGATGAACTGGTCGGGAAGGATAATAAAATTATGGCTTATAAATCATTTACAAGTTCGAATCCTTTAATTAGCAGCTTTAGCAATTGTAAATTTTGAAAGATTTTGAAGCAGGGATAGGTCGAGTGGAGCAATATTTTCTAGACCTATCAGGTGTCCTTACCCGTTGCCCCTTCTTGGTTTCATCGTTTATGTACTATGGAAATAGGGCCTTGTCCCGGAACCCATAATTGTTTTTGCTGGCCACGATTGATTCCCGCGGATGAAGCATTGCAAAATTGTATAAAACTGCAGTGGTGGAAGGTAATGTTACAAAATTGATTGATCATAATGAATTCTCTACAATGAGAATAAGGAGCTTCGTTTTGCCGCATAGTGAGAATTACTACTACAAATGTCTTTTGCAAAGAATTATATGGCATTGTTTTGATTCCTCTCACAGATGATCTGATTAAAATAACTTCCCTACTTGGGGCAGTGAAGGCATCATTATGTTCCTGTGGCATTTCACTTGCAAGATGCCATGCAGAAGCAGCCACCTGCTGGCAATTGCGTATTCCCAGCTCTTTACCGTGCTAATCTCAGGAATCATCACTAATCTCCCTTTTGTGCTTCTGGCTTTTTTTCTTGGATTTTATCACCGTTCTTTCTTCATTTTCTTCATATTTCTTCTTTTTCTCCCTTTTCTCTTTAGATGCTTTCTTTCTTTTCACGGGCAATGTTCCAATCTCATCTACAGTTTGGATCTCATCCAAGTTTTGTGCTGTTGCCGAAACTTCTGTCAGCATATAATAGGAACTACAATGATCAGTGAAACAATACACAAGAACAATCATTAATAGTCACTGATAGAATAATTATCACTTATGCCTAGCAATAAAGAAAATGTATCACAGTGCTATTAGACAGACAAAACTCTAGCCTAATGTTGGGACCAATGTAGTTACTCGTTTCACTTCAAATTCCATCCGCTGTCTCTAGGGGAGCACGTAAACTCTTTTAGCACCAAGGGTCCCGAATAACCTATGTGGCAAAGTTATCATATTCCTTGATTCTCACGAGTCAAAAAGCTCATCTTAATAGTATTCCCAAGAAAGCTTTGGCAAATATGACCTTCATTCTTTTTCCAGAGCAGCATCAATTATCAGAAATCATTAAATTGAAGCAAATCAAACAAGCAACATAACTCTTTTATTTCAAGCATCGCCCTCATCCATCGTATTCGTAAAGCATTTTGACCAGCACTACATGCAAAAACCTAAGCTGCTGGAAGAAAATGAAAGCCATTTATTTAGTGGCCCAATAATTTATTTGTTATCACAGTTACGCAATTAGCTAAGTCCATCCAGACTTGTTTATGTCCAATACTCGAGTTTTACCTAGGGTCAAATTAGTATTATTTAAGTTCTCTGGCATGGCATAAAAAAATACTATCCAAACCTGTGCAAAGGAAAGAAAAACCAACCTTTGTCAACAAAATTGGAATCAAAAACAACATTTGTAAGGTGCTGCTTCAGGAAAACCTGCATTATATAATATGGTTTGATCAAATGATTGGAATATATATAATAATTGTCAAGTACAATTAAGCCATATAAATCCAGCACTCGTAACAAATCAAGCTATATGCAGCATTCTTATTTCAAGTACATTGGAATATCTCTAACTTCTATAGATCTACCATTATGAAGGACAATAATTGAGATAAAAAGAAATCGAAAACAAACATTAACTCTAATATAACATCATCCTAAATGGAAAAGAGTAAAAAAAGCAATAAAGAAGTGTAAAGCAAGTAAATTAAATAAAACTTCATAGCAATTAAGCCCAAGAAATACCGCTGAAAGAAGTTGACGAGTCTTTATATCCCACAACCGCAAGTAGCGATCCAAACCTAAGAAAAAGAAAATGATAAGCAGAGAAAAAGTTTGGCCCCAGAAAAAGGAAGTTGCACATCTACCGGCACAGGGCACCAAGTCAAATATGTGTTTGTAACAAAGATAAAGCAAAGAAATGTATCTATATACCCACCACATGATGCTATCACAGGGAGCTCTGGATGCCTGGTCATGGATCTAATACTCCCGGAACACTTCCCTATAAAGCATCCTAATAATTTCCCTGAAAGAAAGGGATACATCCAATGTTAACAGAAATGAGGGGAAGAAGAAAACATTCAGAGGATAAACTAAATCAAGGGCAGGAGCAGCAGGTGGGCAACAACACTGGCTTCAGAACAAATTTTTTTTAGCCCAATCCACAACTACAAAATAGTTACCAAAACCACTATATACATATGTAACAAAACAGAAAAGAAAAGGATCTGATGAGGACAACAAAGGAAGTAAAACTTATGTCTTTTTGTAGACAAGGATATTTCTGTAACTTCTAAAAATCTGGAAATTTGTCTTAAGTTTAGGTTTTATTTGTCCTAAGAAGTAATTAGTCTTATTAGGTTTTTTCCTATTTTACATAGAATTAGTATTTTCTTATTTAGAAATCTAAGTCCTTATTGTATTTGGACTACTAGAAAACTATAAGTATGTAGCCCTTCAATATTATGAGTAGAAGTTTATGAATAAAATTCCAGCAATTTGCTTTTTGATTGTGTCTCCATCTCCCTTAGGTGTGACTCCTAAGAACCCTAGGTGTGAAGCTTAGGTTTTTCTATCCTCTAGGGGTGACTCCTAGAAACCCTATTATTGTGACTAATAGTTCTACAATTTCCAGTGGAAATCCACTATAATACAACCCAATACAGCCCTAAACAGCCTCCAATCTTAAATCCAGAACAGAAACCAACCACCAAACCCCCCCCCCCCCCAAAAAAAAAAAAAAAAAAAAAAAAAGAAGCTGTCCTAAATCAGGATCTAATCAGAGGATTTCAGTCATGACAAGACAACGGAATATACTAGGACAATGAATTGAAACAGGCTGATCAGCAACTCCGCCCTGCGTGCTCCATGAGATTAGCTAGGCTCTTAGAGGATCGTTAGCCAAAAATAGTGTGGCATAAAACTCATGAAATAACCTAAGCTTGCTTTGCTTATAATTCAAAACTGGGAGCCATTTGATGGTGTTGACCAACTGGTCTAAGATAGAACTCCATGGATACTTTCAGATTATACAAAGAAGGTATATAAAGAACCATATAAACAAAAATACAAACTGAAATCAATTACAGGTTCCTTATTTTTGCAATAAATCAAATATCTGTACAAAATCATCCACAATAGATCTAACCATGATTATCTGTCCTTATGTGTGATTTTCCATGTTAAAGGCAGCCACGAAACCCTCCAAACAAATGGATGAAACCATACACATAAGAAGCTTAAATACTAACTTAAATGACATAAATTTCTCTTACTATATGCAGCAGGAACTTGATTTAGATAATACTAATTTATATGAACTGAATAATGCCTGGAGTCAGATTACCACATCCATGAGGAAACGCCATTTATGTACGAGTTCAATAAATAAAATATACCCAGCTAACAGTTCATTCAAAAACTCACATGTTCAAAATTAATTTCCACTCGAGTAGAGGACAAATTATCTTCTGACCATTCAATCCATATATGTCACATAGAATTAAATAGGAAGGGACAAAGCAAAATAATTATAAAAGTTTATTTCACTAAGACTGCTTCAGGGCAGTGCTGGAGTGAAGGTCAGCCTAACTCCAGTGCAGAACTTTATGTCAGGCAAACACAGTCCATTGCAAAGGCAAAACCCACTTTGTTTCTTGTAATACTGGTTAAGTCAGATCAAATTATTTGACTTGCAGCTCACATTGACGTGCCAAGCTCCTATTCAGACCCTCAAATTAAAAGCTCAAAAACAGGACTTCACCAAAAATCATTGCCTTTAGTAAGAAAATACATAGTTTAACCTCTTCAGAGAAATGTTGGCCCATTCACAAGAAACTATTGTATAATCTCAAAAGAGGCAGTACCTACTCAAGGTGATATTTTTTTTTATATTACAATAAGATGTACAGAATGCAGAACAAAATAGATATGAATTAAAGTGCGGAAAATATGATTGCTTATTTTAATCAAAATAGATGCATGTACCTGTTCGCATGTCGAAAGAAGCAAGGTCACCAGACCCATTTCCTAAATAGATTGTATGGCCATCTTGATCTTCAGTGACTGCCTTAATAGCGGTCTCTCTGAAATCAAATGACAGGACAGGTCTGCGCTGAGCAGATATATCATATAAACGGACCTGTTAAGTAAACCACAGACATCAAGTTATATAAGATTGAGGCCATCTGGAAAACTCTTCAGCTGTTAGTGAACGACTCTAATTAATGCAACAGCAATTCCAAACGATTCTGGCAAAAACAGAAACTATTAAATTCACAAAATGTTATCTCTAAACCCATACGTTGCTAACTAAACCACTGTTTTTTTTTTTTTTGTGTGTGCAGTAACCACATCCAGAACACCTGACATTGGTTACACATAAACAAGCAAAGTTGCAAACAAAAGAGAGACTGGGTAAGAATGTTTCAGTAGCACACATTTTCCTGGAGAAGCTACTTAGTGTGCATTGTGGCTATGTGGATGAAATACTTAACTCCAAACACCCTTACTCTAATAATTTTTCCATGGGAGTGTTTGCTATGGAAGGATTACCTGATGACTGTTGGTGCCAGCCACAAATTTACGGTGATCATCATTACCCAGGAATGTTGTACATGTAAACCAAGTTGGGGTGAATATTCCAAGGCTATTCACAGGAGGCTGCACAAAGCAAAAATATTGAAATAGACATGAGGTCGGGTACAGAACTGCTTGTATATGAATAACCTTTTTTTTTTCTCGTGATTTAGAACATTTGACTAGAAAATTGGCTCACAGATTTCGCAGTCCAAATCTTAGTAGAATTCTCAAGGTCCCATAGATTAACTTCAACACCTTTCCTGAATCAGAAAATGAAAAAGCCATCATGCCACTAATGAACATAAACTTCCAAGTCTGAATCTTATTCTGTACAGCCACAGATAGAGATACTCACCCTCCAAACACCGCATAATTTTCACTTCCATCCACTTTAGAACATAAGACATAGCCAGAACCACAAACTTTCCATGTCTTTGTTACACTAATACTGGCATTATCAGTGATAGATTTATCAACTCCACAAGCCCTCATGCTTGCATTTCCTTTTGCTGTACATGTAAGCAAAGTACATGACCTACAGATGGTCAGCACAACAGAAATCAGTAACTGCTGGTTGTCATAAATACCAATACCCATAAACTTCAAATTGTTAGACTCTGAAAAAGAAACAGTAGAGCATACCTAGATAACCTCTCTCTCCTGAATAAATGCAAACCAGCAAAAGCATCATCTTCAGGTTGAACACCATCCTCACCAACATTAGAAAACACAACATGAATTTCTCCATTAAGGGGGTTGAGTACTTCAACCTGTAATACATTATCCATAGAAATAACTAAGCAAAGCTCAAGTGACGCTGTAACAACTATCAAGAACCCAAAACTAAACTGCAATCCTTCCTCAACATTCAAAATCTAATAAATATATCTCACCTCTCCATTTTTCCTTGCAACAGCCAATAACTGCAAGAAACAAAATTACACCCTAGTAAGACAGTAATTATACTAAATTTGCATGAAATATCAGTATGTCCCCCGCGCATGTATTACACGCACGGCTGTGACACATTAACTCCACGAAAAAGAAAACCCAGAAATCAAAACACGGAAAATGATATAGATTTAAAAGTTTCAGCTAAAAAATAACACGTACAGGGTCTTTTTTACGGTCATCAATGGAAGCAGCAAGCACGCATTTGGAAGAATCAGGATCACCCCATCTCTCAACAACCTGAGGTATTCCTCTTTCACCACGAGACTCGATCACTATAAACAAAATCAAAAATGAAAAATCGAAATAGAAACGCAAACAGTAATTCAGGTCAATCGGCTGTTAAAAAGAGATTGGGCATTACCTTTTATGAGACCAAGTGAGTCAAAAGTTAGAGCTCGAAGTGGAGAGCAACCTGGGCACTCTAATGTCGTAGTTCGCGGCATTGTTTTTCAGTTTCACTTTGTCAACACAAGCATAGATATATGCAGAGGATACAAAACCCTAAACCCCTAATTCCTGTTTTGGCTCAGTATTTTGGGCTCTGTTTAAGACTTTTAGTACCCTATACTTTCCTCACGTTTCAATCCGGTCCCTTAATTCTCTATAATTATTTACAAACCATTAGATCAATTTGCTTACGGATTTCTCGTAAATTTGTTGTCAGCTAGCTGATGATCCCTGCGTTGTCTTTTATTTTATTTTTAATAAATATATGACTTTTGTTGATGTTTATTTTTTATTTTAGCTATTTTATGGATCTCAAATAGAAGAAGAAAAATAAAATTACTCTTGAAAATTAACCCAACAAAAGATATTCCAAGTCATTATGTTAGCAAGGGTAGGACAAGAGAAAGCTATGAATTAATTAAACGAAATACTCATAATATTTTTTTAAAAATCAAATTATTCATATTATTGAAATATTTAAAATAATTAGAAATAAGCAAAAGAATACCTAATGCTTTCTTGGTTGTTTTATGCAACTTATAAAGATCCCGAAAAAAAAATCAAATATATTAAAGATGACTTGTAAATAACCTGGAAGGGTGATCAAGAAAAATTCTAATCCATTTATATGATAAGAGGTTAAGTTTTAAAATATTACATACAAAATTAATGATACTTAATTTGTATAAAAGAATTTTAACACGATATATATATATTTTATAGTGACCAATTTTATTAAAAAAGAATTCTTTTTACATTAAAAGTTATTTGTTTAAGAATAATAATACTTTAATCATATATATATATATATATATATATATATATATATATCCTGCATGACAACACTAGAATTAAGGGGAAAAAAATTCAAATTGTTCATATTATTGAAATATTTAAAATGATTAACAAAAATTAAAAGCATACTTTTTTTCTTTTTTTCTTTTTGGCTATTTGAACTCTTTAGAAAATACATATTAATAAAAAACCATATAAAATCACATCCTAAGTAATAAAAAACATAAAAATGAATAAACCTCCATCCATAAATCATATATGAAAAGCACTTACGTGTTGCACACGTGATCATCAATATTAATGAAATTAATTTAACATATAGGTATATTAGAGAATAAAAACAAACCAAAAGTTATAAATTAAAAAAAAAAAAATTTTAAAAAACAATTTTTTTTACCAAAGAGAATGATTGGTAATAAGTGTAGTGTGTGTGTGTGTGTGGTGGGGAGGTTGGGGGTTGGGGTTGTAAGGTTTTTTCACAATTTATGCTAAAACTATCACACGTAACATGTGTGATTGTTAATTTTTATGAAAATATAAAAATGGATATGTTAGAGACTCAAAATAAATTTAAATTATAAATGATTGATTTTTTTTCATAGAAAGTTATGATTGATAAATGGTGTACTATATAAGAGTATATACAAATTTTTCTATACACATACATACCGTATGAAAACTAGAATATATATTTTAAAAAAGAAGATTAAAAAAACTATAAAAGTGATATTGTTGAGTTAGATAGTTGAGATTAAATTTTATTAAAAGGCTTAAGCATTGTGGTGGTGATTATTTTTCAACTTTATATATTGTTCAACTATTGTTTATTTATTCAACGTAAAATAGATTCTCTAACACTTTTCCTTGTAGTCCGTCTTTTGGGATCCGTCAAGTAGTTTAAACTCTAGAATCGTTACTCGGACTATTGGGTTTCTTTGAAGCTCTAATACTATATTAAGTTAGATAGTTAAAATTAAATTCCACCCAAAAGACTTAAACTTTATAATGGGTGATCCTTTCTCAACTCTATATATTGCTCACGGTTATTTATTTATCTAATGCAAAATAAATTCTCTGATACTCTCTCTCATTTGTAGCATGAAGTGTAGTCATTGGAGCATGCATAAATTGGCCAATTTGAGTTACAGAGAAGGTGTTGTTAAGCCTTGTTAATTTAAAGTATTATAGAGCACCAACTATGCTATGATACTTCGTAAGATCTGGTAACATTTAAGTAAATCACCATCATACAACGAGAGTTTTAAGCCAAATGCCATAGGTGAGCTGACATGTGAGCTAATGAGCTTTGCACCCTCCATTTTGGTTTTCTACAATAAATCAAATACATAATTAGATAGACACATATAAATTGTTAGAACGTCAAATAGCCTCAATGGCTAGAAAATAATTAAGATTCCAAGTCTTTCGTTGCAAAGAAACGATGCAGTTTTTTCAAAAAATAAGTTATTACAGATTCATGTATGCTAGTGAATAAATGATGAGTTATCGGCATAAGAGAAAGTATATCCAAACTATGAATATATGAGGTAAAACAAAGAAACCATGCTCACCTTTATATATGAGGTAAAACAAAGAAACCATGAGGTAAAACAAATATGCTAGTGAAATTAAAGGTAAGGAAGAGTGTCATAAAACTTATTCTATATTGAATAAATAATCAATAAATGAGTATAGAGTTAGATAGCGAAAATTGAATTTCATCCAAAAATACTTAAGACTTGTGAATGATATTTTCTCAACTTTATATATTATTCATTTATTACTTATTTATTTATTCAAAGTAGAATAGATTATCTAACACTTTTTCTCACTTTTAGCTCATTTTTTGGCCATTTGATTTTTGGAGTTTGTCAAGATGCTTAGACTCTAAAAAATTTTATGAACCGTTAGATTTCTTTGAAGCTCTAATACTATGTATAATTAGATAGTTTAAATTAAGTTCCATCCAAAAGATTTAAGCCTTATATTGAATGACTTTTTCTCAAGTTTATATATTACTCATATATTGTTTATTTTTTATTCAACGTAGGATAGATTCTCTAGCAATAAGTGATATATAGAGTTGAGAAAAAACCATAGGGTTTAAATTTTTTGGATAAAAAATTAATTTTAAATATTTAATTTAATATGATATCAAAATCTTGCTAACTTAACGGTTAAAAATTTGAATCCCACAACCCTTACTTTCTCTTCTAATTAATTAAAAATATTAAACACAAGTAGTGTGAACTTGTACAAGTTTCAAAGCCAAAAAGTTTTTATTTGAAATAGTGTGTTGAGAATAGTATAAAACAATTTTTGGGGTCTTATGTAACGATTTAACATTTTAGGTTAAGATAGTTATTTGATATGATATTAGAGTCTTGATGACCAAACGATCACGAGTTCAAATATCATCATCCTTAAAATTTCTTTTAATTAAAATACAATAGTACAAAATAGAGTGAGCTTATGCAATTTTAAGTTAAAGTGTTTTCACTTTGAGGGGTGTGTTTAAATTGAGATGATTATTTGATACTACTCATATTATTAGAATCCATATTAAAGCTAGCATAATAATGACAAGGGTTGAATCCATATATAAAGTTAGTGTAATAATGAAAAGGGTTGTTATAATGCCCATTAACACCATGACTATCGTAACACCATTGAATTTCAATTTTATAACGGCCAATAGTAGAGAGTTCTACTCTTTTTTCATCTTTATTATATTTTTTTTAATTCTTTTTTTGTTTTAAGTTCATCCTTATACGTTTGCTCCATGTCTTAATTTCATTCTTCCATTAGCTTTTTTGACTAAAAGTATTAAGTCGTATTGTTAACCCTACAAGATAGAGACATGTACCAACTTGTTTTTTCTTCCATCTTAATCTCCTCCCTCTGCTTTTTTTTTTTCATCTTAATATTGTTTTTTAATTGAATTTAAATAAATAAATATTAAAAATCTAAAAAAAATAAAAATATATTCGGTCATTCTCTCTAAAAATTAAAAAGGAAAAAAAAGAAAGGTAAAGATAAAAAAAACTTTTATTCCAAACATCATTTATGTGTTTAAATTTATCTATATCATAATGAGCAAATTTTGAGTATCAAATGAAATAATTATAATTTTTTTAAATGTGAAGAGAGTTTTAGTTAAATTTTTTAATTTTTGAATAATATTTATAATTTTATAATACCTCAAAGGAGTCTATTATAATTTACTAATCTTGACTTTCCAAATTTCTTAATATGATTCAAAAATGAGAATATAGATTTTATTATAAATTTTAGTTAAATTAAAAAATTTATTGGTGTTAGGTCTTAACACTAATAAATATTTTTATTTTTATTTTTAAGTTACATTAAAAAATTTATAAAATTAAAATAAATAAATTATAGTAGACTTGAAAAAACTATAAAAGTGATAGCAAATCGAACTAAACTAACCATATTATTATTAGAGTCCATGTTAAAAACCAGCGTAATGACGACAAGAGTTGCTATATGCCTACCAACTCCATGATTATTATAGCATTATCATTGAATTTGAATTTTATGGGTAATTAATTATTATTTTATTCAAATATATTAATTTAATTGAGTATTTTAAACACACTATCTTATAGTAGTTTCTAGAACTCTTATCATTAAGTAACCCACCAAGAATTAATCATTGAAAAATTAAAACAATAATTAAAAAAAGGGAGCATTAAAAAATGAATACCAACTTGATGATTTTTTGAAAAACATGAAAAACACGTTCGATTGTTTTGCTATGTGAACCAAGTGATGTCGAGCTAATGAACTAACTATATGAACAACAACATCTTCCTTCAATTATTTGGTGCATCATATCAGATAAATTTTATAATACTCAAAAAAAATATTTTAAATTAATATAAAAATTTTTTTATTATTTTTTATAGGTTTAAATAAATTTTTTTATGTATTTATCTTCTTCTTAAAAAATAAATTAATGAAATAACTAATATATATATATATATATATATTTCTTGAGTATTATAAATTTTTTTAATAAATTAATTTTTTTATAGTTTCTTTTCATATTATTTTAATAATCTATTTTTTTTATCGTTCGAGATAATACTCAAGAAAATTCTTTTGAACCAACATGAAAATCTTATTTATCACTTTTAGTGGATTCAAATATAATTCTCTTTTTTTATGTGTCTATTTTTTTTCAAAATGAATTTATAGAGTAACTACGGTATATATATAATTGTTATTATTTAAGTATTATAATTTTTTTCATAATGTTGAGATTTCTTTTCACACTGTTTTAATAATCTTTTTTTTTATTATTGTTTGAGATATTTCAGATAAAAAAATTTAGGCTAATCACTCCTTACCTTAGGTGACGTATAAAATAAATATAATTATTTAAAGAATTTTTTATATTCATAAACATTTAAATTCAAATCACTTGCTTAAAGTTTCTTTCCTTCCTGTCTCATTGCCACATCACTGGAGACCATCTGACACAAAGTTGTTCATCGTTTCCCTTCTCTTGTCTTTCGATCTTACCCATCAAATGGCAGCAAAATCACCACCGCAAAAACCCACCAAAACCTCCCATGCAATCAATACAGGCGGTGGTTATTGCTCCGAAACCAAAACCTTTCACAGTCTAAGACCACCTGCAATTCCACCACCACCTCATCAACCTCTCTCAATAACCCAATTCATCCTCTCTCACCTCTACTCATCCACCACTCCAATTACCACAACAACCTTCTTTACCATCCTCTCCGCTGCCCAGTCTCTAACTTACTCTCAAGCCATCGACCAAATTTACTCTCTTTCTTCATCTCTCAAGATCATCTACTCTTTAAAGAGAAACGACGTCGCTTTCATCGTCTGCCCTTCCTCTCTCCACGTCCCCATTCTCTATTTCTCTCTTCTTTGCCTTGGGGTCACCGTCTCTCCCGCCAATCCATTCAGTTCAAACTCCGAGCTGACTCACCAAATCCAGCTCAGCAAACCCAAGATCGCATTTGCCACCTCCCAAACTGCTCCCAAGCTTCCCTCTTTCCCCCTCGGCACCATCCTCATTGACTCCCCGGAGTTCACCTCCTTGTTGACTCAGAGTTCCAAACAAGACACTGCTACCAACCACGTTGAAGTCAGTCAATCCGACGTGGCAGCCATTCTTTATTCCTCAGGCACAACTGGGAGAGTCAAAGGCGTGCCAATAACTCACCGGAACCTCATAGCTTCAGTCGTGGCTTTTCGTAGCGGTGCAGAACCCAACCCACATGCGGTTTTGCTGCTTACGATGCCTTTGTTTCATGTTTATGGCTTCTTTATGTTGATAAATGCGTTTTGGAGAGGAAAGACGTTGGTTTTAATGGAGAGGTTTGATTTTGAGCAAATGTTGAAGGCTGTAGAGAGGTATAGAGTGAGTTTCATGCCGGTGTCGCCGCCCCTTATTCTGACGTTAGTGCAATCGGATTTGACTAACAAGTATGATTTGAGTTCACTGCGGATGCTTATTTGCGGTGGCGCGCCTTTGAGCAAGGAGGTTGCTGACAAATTCAAAGGAAAATTTACACAGGTGGAAATAGCGGAGGCAAGTTTTTTGTTTCCTTCACTGGAGTATTTTCATTTTTCGCAAAACTAATGTATTGTTACATTAATGTTGTGAATAATAAGTGATTGTTTCTTGTACCTTGGATATAGGGGTATGGGTTAACAGAGGCTGGAGCGGTAACAAGTATGATAGGACCTGAAGAGTACAAGCACCATGCTTCTGTCGGTCGTTTGCTAGCAAACATGCAAGCCAAAATTGTTGATCCTCTAACTGGAGAGGCCGTGGGTCCTGGCAAGAGAGGGGAGCTCTGGTTGCGAGGGCCATCTGTTATGGAAGGTAGTGAACATTGACTTGATAGTTGTTTGTTACCTTTCTTCTTTGATGCGTTTCAAAGTGTTGTTTTTTGGTGTGAAAAAGGAAAGAGTTGCATATATGCTGGCTTGTACTCTAATATTGTTTTCTAGTGCAAAGAACAGTGTCAAGGGTAATGTTGTTTGTCATCCACCCTTGCTTATATATTTTGAATCTACCTCAACCTGTAATAGTATGTGTCTCGTACCATTGCAGAGACTTGGAGATTCTTTACTTTGTGGTTTGCTTTTATTCTTGGAACTTGACATTCATATAATCCTTCTCACTTCTTTTAAGCCCCTAGTATGCATATATGTATGCAATTGCTTAGGCATTATTTGGCATGGACCAGAGATACCTTCTAGCTCTAGGCAAATTGCAAGTTCATATCTGCGTATGGATATTCATCTTGAAATATGCTGGTTATCTGAAAGCAGGGAAAAAGAAAATTCCATGACTGAGAGATTAAAAATTTGTTTTGTGGAAAATTTAATTTGGCACCCTTTCCCCCTTAATACAGTGTTTAGCCCTATAAATACCTCGACATCTTCTTCGTATGAATTTATATTGGGATTCTCTTACCAATCCACTAATATTCTGGTGTTTTCAATAAAGGCCTGTTCTTTATGAGCTCGTGTTAGTACAGGTTATGTAGGAGATGAGAAGGCAACTGCTGAAACCTTTGATTCAGAAGGGTGGTTAAAGACCGGGGATCTTTGTTTCTTTGACTCTGAAGGGTTCCTCTACATTGTTGATAGGCTAAAGGAATTGATAAAATACAAGGCATATCAGGTGACTGAAGCATCCTGCACCCTTCCCATCATAATATTAACCTCAATAAATGTTAGGATTGTAAATCTCATTCTCATTTCAGGAATGTTGTTGTTGTATCATATCTTTGATAACTTGCAGGTGCCCCCAGTTGAGTTGGAACAATTACTAATGTCGAATCCTGAAATTGCTGATGCTGCTGTAATTCCGTAAGTTGTTTAGCTGTTTCTTCTGCTACTCGTGCTGAGAATTTCACGTTGGTGTAATAAGTATGCAAAATGTGTTTATGTGTTGTATATTTCTGCATTGTAGCAATTGCAGACAACCAACTGATAACTCTTTCACACAAACATATTTCCAAGGTTTTCTTTTGATTGAATGGCTTATTTTGTCATTTTTTTTGGATTTTATAAGTTGAATTTATGTATAGGCAATAAATTGATTAACATTGAATCATATGTCAAAAAGGAAAAGGAAACAAAAAAAAAAAAAAAACAGAGAGAACTAGCCTATGAGATCCAACATGTTAAAAAAACGAAACTTGTTGGAGAATTTAAGACCAAGTACTGTTCTATTTTTAGTATTGCTCATCTTTTTGTTGTCCTTTTCATGTATTGGATATTACCTATAAGATTATAGAATGTAGAAAGCATGCATGTCTGGTATTCTTGATGTTGTATTGCTTTTGCTGGTTTTAGTAAACTGCAGAGAAAAGTTTCTTAGCTTGTTTATTGAGGAAGAAAAAGAGATTCTTCTGTTGAGAATAACAATGAGAGATTTTACTTGTTGAAATCAATGGATAGTTTGCTAGTTGAATTACTTAAAATGCTTCAACTGACGAAAGTTCTGAATTCTGCTGGTAATTTAGCTACGTGTTACAGTAGATCAGTCCAGATTTTCTGTTATTGACTGATATACATATAGCAATAAAATTTTTGAGCTTGATAATTCAAGAGCCAACCATAGGCCATTAATTTAGGAGAGTATTTAGTGTCATGGTTCTTGTAGTCAATAGCCTGCCTTCAGAGTTTTATTTTTGATTCATTTATATTTGGTTTGTTTCCAAAGATCCAGATCTGCTCATTTCATTGGATTTTGTTACCTGGGAACAGGTATCCTAACAAAGAAGCAGGGCAAATTCCCATGGCCTATGTGGTGAGGAAACCAGGAAGCAATATTACTGAGTCTCTAGTTATGGATTCCATTGCAAAACAGGCAAGCTTCTAGATACATTTAAAACTCTTGATTTCCCCCTTTTTACATGAAGATGCATGCACTTGAAGGCAGATATTTATATGGATCGAGACCATATGAAATCTTTCTTTCGTAGAATAAAACGACAAACCATAATTTAGCCCCTTTTTAGTTTAAGATGTGTGTGCTTGAAGGCATTTGATGGATCATGCCAAGACCATATCTAATCTTGCTCCCATGTTGCATAAAATGACAAATTGAGTAGTTGGTTTGTCTAATCAAGTGCCTTGTGTGTGTGTGTGTGTGTGTGCGCGTGCGTTTGCGTGTGCATGCGTGCGTGCAACATGGAGATCTTTCAGGCATATGATTCCATATATTATTAACCTTGGTGTGAGCAGCCAACAATTACAGTGACAACCTGTTAGCTGAGTATATGCCATTTCAACAATTAAGGAGGAGTTTTTGTAACATGTCATGCACTCACATTAATCATTTCTTCCGGCAGGTTGCACCATACAAGAAGATAAGACGAGTGGCTTTTATCAATGCCATTCCCAGATCTCCTGCAGGAAAGATCTTGAGGCGGGAGCTGATCAATCATGCTCTCTCTGCTGCTTTATTAAAACTGTAGTCATCCAATGTTTATTTAAAACAATCCTCGCCGAGGGTTGAGCATGCAGAGAAATACAGGTCACAAATCTTCACTGTATATTGTAAGCTGTTAAAAAAAAAAAAATAATAATAATAAAAGAAAACAAACAAACAAAGCCTTCTCTCCAGGTAACTTTCTTAATTTGTGCTGGTATATATCATATTAACAATTCAGCATGCAGCTAAATTTGCTGGACCACTTTACCTGGTAGATTTTGCAATCCAACATGCAACTACGTTAATTTGCTTTCCTATTAACCCAGTTAACAATACAGTGAGGAATTTCGGTAGGAGCCATTAATTTAATGTTAACAAGAACAGCTTCAGTTTCCTAAGAATTGAATTGGCATTCCTGTTGAGAGCCTGAACAACCCCTGATGAATATGATTCCATCAAACAGGGCATGCTTTATATTTGTTTGCTGAACCACTTTACCTGACAGACATTTGCAGCATAGAGTTTCTTCATCAAGACTCAGCGTTTCTGCCAGAAGATTAGCAAAAGATAAACGCGCATCACTCTGCCTTCAACTGTCCCTGTTCTTGGTGGTGACAGAGATATATATTGGCTGGGCCTGTGAAGTAAGAGGAGCAGGATTAATTTGTCACCGGAGACAGTCTAATCGTTTCGAATTCCTTAGTCTTTCTACACATTTTGGTTGCGCTCATGGGGTCTGGAGTTCAGTGTTAAAAATCAGATTTCTATGGTCTTCCGAATCATCCACGAGAAATGAGCAACCCTCACCATGGTCCATGGGCTTTCCAGTCTCCACTAGGTACTTGCCTCCTGTAGCAATTTGTATAGACGAGTGTGCCAACTTGTGATAAAGCTTGCTTCATAGAGGGAGCCATAAGTGTTTAAATTGATACCAACTTAATTCATGATGCATTGAAAGACAAGATAGGGACATTTAATTTAACTTTTTTTTTTTTCCTTACTCTACTTGAAGCTTCTCTTTTGCATTGATTGTTTGAGGTCGAACCATGTCAATTCTGAAATCTGAGGATAGACATTAAGGAGAGAATACCAGTTTGGGGTCCAAAAGATTCAATACAGGTTGAGAATTCAGTGTAAGAGAAGATATGCCATGGCCATGAATGAAAGACATGGCCACATGGGTTCCTTTTCTTGCTTTAACGAACTTGGCTCTATAAACGGATTGTTGTAAACCTGCCATTAAGGCTATGCTTTGTCAGAGCCCACGAGTTTTGTTCATGCCCTAATACGGACCTATTTCGAGTCTGTTTCTTAAGTTTGGAGGTCTCCAAGATTTTGGGCAAAAGAACCTTGAGCTTTAGAAAAATTAAAATTAAAAATGATGAGAGATTCAACTTTGTAGTACATCAAAATAATGAAAATTACTTGGAAATTGAAAAAAAAAAAAGAAGCATGGAGAATACCAAAAAATTGGTTCAAAATATATTCTGGAAAGGAGGGGGCAATTGCCCTTTTTTCCGTAACATACCTTCACCCTTGATAATGATAGCAGTAGAACAGCGGCGGCGGGGGAATAACAATGGTCGTTTACCCCTTATTTGGATAGGGTGAAAAGCGAGGGAGAGAAAAAAAGAAGGATGAAAAAAATATTTTTATCGTTTGGAAAGAGGGAGGAAAACGAGTGGAATGAAAAAAAAAAATTAAACAATGCAAAAATGGTGCGACCCATTTTCCTTCCAAAATTAGGAGGAAACGGGAGGGATGCAATTTTTTTTTGTTTTTTCTAATTTCGCCCTTGCTCGCCGTTCCCTTCGTTTCTCTCGCCCATCTCGTCTCTACAAACACACACTCTCTCTCTCTCTCGTTGAAGTCGTTACTAATAGCCCATCATCTCGTCTCTGCAAACCCCATCTCTCTCACTCGCCGAAGTCGTTTCTCCGCCCATCACATCTCTCGCAAACAAACTCTCTCTCTCTCGCCGAAGTCGTTATCAACGACCCATCATCTTGTCTCTGCAAACCCCATCTCTCTCTCTCGTTGAAGCCGTTTCTCTCGCCATCATCTCTTCCTCGTGCATGCTTTCTCATTAATAATAGATATGCAAAAATGAAGTTATTGAACAAATTGATTGATGATCCATTCGCATAACACATTTTCTTTCCTCCCTAGTTCATCCAACGAGCGTCTCCACAGGTGTTTTCGAGCGGCGAAGGTTACACCCATTCGCAGCTCCTCCAAAGTTTGTAGCGTTAGCGAGGGCGGAGTAATGTTTTGTTTGATTTTGTTCTTTGTCATTCAATTGATGGATTGTGTTTGATCTATAATGTGTGAGGGCAAAGGACAGTCGCCTTTCATTTCCAAATAGAAAACAACGTTTCTCGCCTAGATTGAAGGAAAGCTAACCAATAATCTCATCAATTGCAGATTCCTTATCACTCACCAAGCAACGCCGAAGCTGATCTTTTGTGAAAGCAAGCACCGAGGTTCCATTCGGGTTTGATGTCGGTTCAAAGTGTCTAGTTGTTCCCTTGTAGTTTCCAATCTTTCGCTCGGCAAAAGGGTTCCAAGTGCCGATCACATTGTTCGCATTTGCTTGGAAATGGCTTTTTTGCAAGAATGTGAAGACAGAGAACTAAGCTAAGGTATTTGCGGGTTATTTGGTTTGGAAGAATCAAAGTGTGCGGATTCATTATTGTTGTTGTTGTTGTTAATATTTACGAGATAATAACATATTTTCGGTTCATTTTTCGGAACCTATTATGATTTGGGCATGAGCTTTTGTTAGCAAAATTTTTTGCGATAACGGAAATGCCATGTGCATGCACAAAATCGAACAATGTAGATGTAAAAAATTGGTAGCACGAGAAATGAAGACAAAAAGAGTGGAATTTAGGTTGATTAATGAATGCTCTCTCGCAACAAATACCCATGTATTAATTAATGTCCGATTACGGTTCATTGCACATGTCCGTCATATATGTGCGTCATCGCTTTACGGGAAGATGAGGGCATGAGGTGTTTGAAGATTAGTTCTCCGGATGCAAAACTTGCTAAAATGGAGGAGGAAATGCAGCTTACCCAATGAAAGGAATGCTGATTCCGTAGTTGTTTATGTAAATAATGAGAATCATGTTCATTACCATATCGAATATATGCTTGCCCTTCCAAGTAGTCGCTTCCAAAAGCTATCCTGGATATTACTTCGATGTCAAAACCTTGAATTCTTGGAATACGTCCCTTCATTGTTTCTCCATCTTTCGAGCATAATCTCAACACTTGCAATTGTATCTAGAACCATACCCTTTAAAAACATAAAAAATATGTGTATAGTACTTGTTAATTGAGGTTCTCCAGGGAGGCTATGTTTCATTACTTGTCCTGTTTATATTGTTAGAACACATATTGACTTCATGTACAATTAAATAGTCAAAACAAGAGTTTACTTTCAAGCTCCACAAACACCCACAAACCAGCTTCAAAACCACCCAAAAAAACCCCAAAAACCCTAAAAAAAGAGGCCTAAAACCAACCTCAAAACAGACCCAACACTTACCCAAAAACCCTCAAACTCGGCCAAACCGTTACCAACGACCCTCGAAAACCCTTACAGAGCAACTCCTTTGGAAAGACCATTTGAACCACCAAAGAAGCTCCACAAACACCCCCAAACCAGCTTCAAAACCACCCAAAAAAATCCTAAAAAAAGAGGCCTAAAACCAACCCCAAAACAGACCCAACACCTACCCAAAAGGCCCCAAACTCAGCCACGAAACTGTTACCAACAGACCCCAAAAACACTTACAGAGAAACTCCTTTGCAAAGGCCATTTGAACCACCAAAGAAGCTCCACAAACACCTCCAAACCAGCTTCAAAACAACTCAAAAATCCCCCCAAAAAACCCTAAAAAAAGAGGCCTAAAACCAACTCCAAAACAGACCCAACACCTACCCAAAATGCCCCAAACTCGACCTAAAACTCATTAGCAACAACCTCCGAAAACTCTTATAGAGAAACTCCTTTGGAAAGGCCATTTGAACCACCAAATAAGCTCCACAAACACCCCCAAAGCAGCTTCAAAACCACTCAAAAAAAAACCCCCAAAAAACCCTTAAAAACAGAGGCCTAAAACCAACTTCAAAACAAACCCAACACCTACCCAAAAGGCCCCAAACTCGATCCCGAAACCGTTACTAACAATCCCGAGAAAACCCTTACAGAGCAACTCCTTTGGAAAGGCCATTTGAACCACCAAAGAAGCTCCACAAACACCCCCATACCAGATTCAAAAACACCAAAAAAAACCCCCCCAAAAAACCCATCAAAATAGATACAAAATATCCCTCAAGACAACCCCTCGAACACCTTTTGAGTTACTGCAAAAGAAGAAATAAAAATTATTTGTGATTTGTCTCATTTTTTGTGATTCAATTGACTTTCCATGATTGTTCGCAATGTTACCATATACTCTTTTTTTTTTAATTGCTAAATAGTAATTGTTTATTCTAAAAAAAAAGGAGAAAATGATGAGTAAAAGCAACTAACTTATTATATGCATAAATAATAATACATGTTATACATATTTAAATTAATTTTATGTTGATAATTAATCTAAATTGGCTATTTAATTAATTAATTAATAAACGAGTTATCGATTATTCTATGGACACGATTCATTATCTATCTTATCATTTCGGATATATGCTACATGCTAGATTTTTATTTTATTATCATTTGTGTTATTTTCATGAAAAAAATATTCATACAAATTTATTATAAGTATTTAAATATAGAAATATAATCACAGGGGTATTATAGTAAATATATAATAATATATTTTCTCTCCTTTCCTTTCCACTCTTATCAAACAACAAGTGAAAAAATTATTCATACAAATTTATTATAAGTATTTAAATATAGAAATATAATCACAGGGGTATTATAGTAAATATACAATAATACATTTTCTTTCCTTTCTCTTTTTACAATTATCCAAACAAGAGAAATATATTTTCTTTCCTTTCCTTTCCACTCTTATCAAACAACAAGTAAAAAAATTATTCATACAAATTTATTATAAGTATTTAAATATAGAAATATAATCACATGGGTATTATAGTAAATATACAATAATGCATTTTCTTTCCTTCCTCTTTTTACAATTATCCAAACAAGGGATATGTATTTTCTTTCTTTCCTTTCCATTCTTATCCAAACAACAAGTGAAAAATGATTTTCTTTCCTCTTTTTTTTTTTTTTCTCTCACTTTCTTTTTTCTCTTTTCTTTCCTCCCAAGAGGAATTATCCAAACAACGGGTTAGTGATGGTGGTGATATTGCGGTGGTGGCAACGATTTTAACGTTGGCGAAGGAAGGATAACGATGGTTAAAATAATTTGTAATATTTTATAAACTGAGAATATCTTTTCTATAAAATGAACCAAGTTTTTGGATCCATAGTAAATATACCTTTACCAAATTATATTGCTATAACAACCAAACGTCTTGCCTAAGTCATATTGCTATAACAACGCCACCCAAAGCCTCGTTGATATTCATAACGTAGTTTATTAATATTGAAGTTATCTTTAGTTAGTTCGAGCTGATGTTTGATCGATACTAATACACAAATACTACTTGTAATATCATTGATCCACTAGCAATTCATCATCTCACTCGAAAAAAGCCAAATGGATAAAACTCATTCGGACAATGTCTAAACGAGCAATCAAGATTATCCTCAACCATTTAGTTACTGACGAAGTGAATTTATACCTATCATCTACCTACTAAATAAATAGATAATATATTTATTAAATAAAAACACATTTCGAAATTTACTTTTGTCTAATCAATAAGAACCATAATGCTATCATGTTTGTTCAATAACGACTAATAACATCATAAATACTTATTTTTTAATCATAATAAAAAATTATTGATAATAAAAAAATGATGATTTTACCCTCTATTCCATCCAAATAGAGGCACAAACGCACAGTTGATGCAGTGGAATTCTGAAATATATTTTTCGGAATCAAGTATTTTTAATAATTTGCATTTTTGTTAAGAGTTGCAATTCAATTGACAATACTACCGTCTCTATTTCTCTTAGCGAGTACTGCTGAAACCTCAGTATTGCTTTTCATCTAGAAGATGATGATCACCAGAAACATTGAGCTTGAATGAAGAACGTTGAAAATTTCATCTAGGTACTGTTGGTCACAGGTTGTGCTCCTTTGGGTCTGGAGAAATAATGACAAATTCCACTTTCTAGATTTCTCACTACAACCTTGGCAACACTGTGACATCAACGTCAGCTAGACTTTTCCATGAGTGATGGTTAACGGGTCAACCCGCAATTGAAGCACTTTCGTCAAGTCTACACCTATTGATGGATAGCTTTGACCTGCTAATATTTGAAATGGGCTCTCGCTTTCTGATCGGTACAAACGCCAAAGAAATTTTTATAATAAACAAATATCTTGTACAATAATTACTTCATAGATTCATTTTGAAAAGAGAGATAGGCAAAAAAAAAAAAAAAAAAAGAGAGAAAATAAAAAAATTTGAGCGAGATGTGAAAATCTTCTTATCATTTTTTATGAATATAGATGTAATTTTTTTCTTTTTAATGTCTATCTCTTATCTCAAAATGGGCCTATGGAATAACTACGCCATTGAGTTACTACTTATGTATTATAAAAAAAAAAAGAGAGAGAGAAACGAATAGAGAAAATAAAAAAAATTTAAATGGACGTGAAAATCTTCTCATCACTTTTGATAGATATATATGTAATTTCTCTCTTTTTTATATCTATCTCTCTCCTCAAAATGAGCCTATGGAATAACTGCTTGTATATATCACTGAGTTACTTCTTGTGTATTATAAAATTTCTCACACTGATAATATTAAAAAAGTCAACATTTATTAAGAAAATAGTTTCTAAATGATACACATTGGATAAGTAACTTATCAATCTCTATATATTCATCACAATTAAATCTTTATTAGTAAGTATTTTTTTTTTTTTTTTTAAGTATTGAATGATTTCTGTGACATCAACGTCAGCTAGACTTTTCCATGAGTGATGGTTTATTGTGTCTTTTTTCTCCCAATCCATAGAATCTTTTCCAATCATTTTTTCAATTTTATTCATAAGATCAAGTCCTTTTTTTTAAAAAAAAAATCACTTCACGGTTGAGAAATTATTATACTCTTTCTTTACTCACAAAAATTCAAATCTCAAATCAAATTATTAGCAATAAAATTTTCATAAATCTTATAATATGAATCCACCCCACCCCCATATATATTTCAGCTATAAAAAAGCTATAAACTAAATTCAAATTAAAATGAATTATTTTTTTTCATTCAGAATAAGTAAAGATTATTTTCGAAACAATATATGCATTAACTAAAATTAATTTTTTCAATGATTTTAAAAATGCTTCTTATATTAGTCTCGTACTTTCATAGAAGTTTATTAAATTCTCTTAGATAAAACTCAATAAAAAAATAAAAATAAATAAAAACATATCTCCTTTGATTGACATACCCATCACTCCATCGAATCAACATATATAAATTCTTCTTTCTATATAAATCAATATATATTTTGTCTTTGACAATATTTTACCTAACATCTACATAATAATCATGTATTATCCAATTGAAAATACAATCACCAAATATTATATTATACTAACCAGTCATCCAATTTGATTCTTTGAATTGGCAACTATATTATAGTGACTATGTTATTTTTTTTTAAAAAAAAGCCGCCATAAGGTCATTAAATTGTCATCACAAAAAAATAATAATAGAAAAATCTTTCATTTTAGTAGATAGTAAATAACTAGTCAACAAAATACAAATCGAAAACCACAAATCAACTCCAGTATATATCTCCACAATTTCCTCTCCCTCTGGTCATTGCAAATTGCTTCCCTTCCGACCGCACACAGATTAACACAGAAACTTGTCCTCCATTTTCCTTTTTCCTCTTCCGAATCAAATGGCAGCAGAATCAATCAACCCAAGAACTGGTTTCTGCCAACAAACCAAAACCTTTCACAGTCTCAGACCACCTACACCTTTTCCACCACCACATCAACCACTCTCTATTACCCACTTTGTCCTCTCTCTCCTCCACTCCTCCACCGTCCCAACCACCACTACCACCTATCTCACCATCCCCTCCACTGGCCAGTCTCTCACTTACTCTCAAGCCATCGACCAAATTCACTCTCTTTCTTCTTCTCTGAAAAACCACTACTCTTTAAACAACAAGGACGTCGCTTTTATCCTCTGCCCACCTTCTCTCCACGTCCCAATTCTTTATTTCTCTCTTCTTTACCTTGGTGTCACCGTCTGTCCCTCCAATCCACTCAGTTCTGACTCCGAGCTGGCTCACCAAATACAACTCTGTAAACCCAAGATCGCCTTTGCCACCTCCCAAACTGCCCACAAGCTTCCCTCTCTCCCTCTTGGTACCGTCCTAATTGACTCCCCCGAGTTCACCTCCTTGTTGACTCGCCTCAAACCACAAACCATCCACCCCCGAGTTGAAGTGAGTCAGTCCGACGTGGCTGCGATTCTTTACTCCTCAGGCACGACAGGTCGAGTCAAAGGAGTGGCATTGACTCACCGGAACTTAATCGCTTTAATCTCCGGTTTTCATCATAACAAGGCAGTAACGGACCTGAACCAACCCGAGCCACCTCCAGTCTCGCTGTTTATATTGCCTTTGTTTCATGTTTTTGGGTTCTTTATGTCGATAAATGCGTTCTCGAGAGGGGAGACTTTGGTCTTAATGGAGAGGTTTGACTTCGTAGAAATGTTGAAGTATGTAGAAAAGTATAGAGTTAATTACATGCCGGTGTCGCCACCGCTTATCGTGGCGTTTGTTAAATCGGATTTGACTAAGAATTATGATTTGAGTTCCTTAGAAACGCTTGGTTGCGGTGGCGCACCACTAGGTAAGGAGGTTGCTGATGCATTCAAAGAGAAATTTCCGCACGTGGAAATAGTACAGGTGATCCCCTTTCGAGGCTTCGATCCATTTTGAGTAAAATTACTAAACTGACAAGATCAGCACTGTTATTGGTTCGTTTAGCATTTTGATTGCATGTGCTTCTGCAAAGTACTTTTTGGATGGAAATAATATTTTATGCCTTTCCTCGATGCTATTCGATGCCCCCTAAAAAGCACTTTGTCAATGGTAACACTTAAGCTCATAATTTTAGGATTCTATGGACTTTATTTAATGCATGCTTTGTGGCATTAGTAATTATTTAATGGTGGAGTGTTTGGTCAGTTTTCCTTATCTTGTTAATTTATTGAGTCATTGAAGTTCAATGGTATCGGTGGGCATTTACAATTCAAGCAAAATGGACCCCATTTCGAGGCTACTTTGGATTGTAAGCCAATTGGAGCAGTTGCCAAAGTTGAAAGGACTATTTGAGAAAAGCTACTGCATTTTGACAAGTTTTTTTTCCTAAATAAAATGATTGTGTAATTAATGGAGTGTTTGAAAGTTATTGAATTTTGAGTGGGTTGTTGAATAATGATTGGTGTATTGTATGCTTAGGGTTATGGATTGACTGAGACTGGAGGAGGGGCAACAAGGACTCTAGGACCCGAAGAGACTAGCCAGCATGCTTCTGTTGGTCGCCTATCTGAAAATATGGAAGCCAAAATTGTTGATCCTGAAACTGGAGAGGCCTTGGGTCCTGGCCAGAGAGGGGAGCTTTGGTTGCGAGGGCCAACTGTCATGAAAGGTAGTGATCATGGAATTATTGGCTATTACTTTCTTAATGCATTTCAAGTAGTCATTGTCACTTTTTTTCAGTCCTCCTAAAACAGAATAATGCATGAACCTAACAAGCATATATGTGGAATTTTTGGATATTGCGTAGGATAGAATTAAAAATTTTTTTTACCCCTTTTTCTATGCAAAGCTGGGAAAATTACAAGTTCATATATGTACCACCGTATTCACTGAATATACTGATTAGTTGAAAGGTAGACAAATAAAATGCCAATGTCTAAGAAATTAAGAGTCAATCTTGTAAAAACTTTGATCTGGCACCTTTTTCCCATAATACTTTCTTTGGCCACACAAATGCCTTGACACCTTCCTAGGTACTTATTATTGATACTCAAACCAATCCAATCGAATATTATGTGTTTCATATCAAATAAGCTTGTTCGTTAATGAGCAGAACAATGGTGCTAGTGCAGGTTATGTAGGAGATGAGAAGGCAACGGCTGAAACCTTACATGCAGATGGTTGGTTGAAGACAGGGGATCTTTGTTATTTTGACTCAGAGGGGTTCCTCTACATTGTTGATAGGCTAAAGGAGTTGATAAAATACAAGGCATATCAGGTGATTCGATTATCCTGGACCCATTCCAGCACAGTCTTGACTAGTAACAGACATTAGAAGTGTAATCTAATTTTAACTGTCATGAATGTTTTTGTCTTATCATATGTTTGATAATTTGCAGGTGCCCCCAGCTGAATTGGAAAAGTTACTTCAGTCCAATCCTGAAATTGATGATGCTGCAGTAATTCCGTAAGTTGTCTAGCTGTTTCATCTGCTGCTCGTGCTGAAATGAAATGTCATGTTGGTATATTTGTATTTGACTATGCTAGATGTTGCTTTTGTGCCATCGATTGCTGACAGCAAATTGCTCACTTTTTCACACCAGACATGATTCTTAAGTTTTCTTTGATTCAGCAGCTCATTCTTGAAAGATGTTGGATCATATGCGGTTGTATTATTTCTAGAAGTTTGATGCTATGCATGTATGCTACTCACAGTTCATTACCTTTTATCTTTCTTTTGAGTTTCTGTTACTGGTTTAGACTTTAGTGTTCATTAGCTCATTGATTGGGAAGCAAAAGAGATTCTTTTGTTGAGAATGACAATCAGAAAGATCAAACTTGTTGAACCAGTGGTTAGCCTGCTGCATGGATAAGATAAAATTCCTCAATGCATGAAAATTGTGAATTTTGTCTTCTGGTACTCTAGCTAAGAGTATTCTTTGGGCGATCCAGATTTGTACCTGTGAGAGATACAGTTAGAAAGCATATGACTATTTGAGGTGATGAGTTTGCCTGCCAGTGGTAATGAATCTAGTTATTGTTAAAGGTCAATGTTCTGATGGATCAATAATATAGAAGAGTATTTAGTATTAGATTTTTCTAGTGAATCAGCTGCCTTCAGAATTTAATTTGTATGTTTGATTCTTTTCTGAAGATCAAGATCCACTCATCATTTGGTTTTTGTTATTTTGGAGCAGGTATCCTGATGAAGAGGCAGGGCAAATACCTATGGCCTATGTGGTGAGGAAACCAGGAAGCAATATTACCGAGGCTCAAATTATGGATTCCATTGCAAAACAGGTGAGCTTCTGGATACGTATTGAAATCATGATTTGAAACCTTTTAATTTAAGATGCAGATACTTGCACGCAATCTATGTATCATATCAAATTTGCCCTCGTGTTGCATGAAATGATGGAAACAATAATTTAGTCCTGTTTTTGCCTAAGATGAATTTGTTTTGAAGGAGGTCTATGGATCATGATCATATCAAATCTTTTCCCACATGCCATAATTTAGCCCCTTTTGGTTTAAGATGCATACACTTAATGGAGATTTTTTTATTTATTATTATGACATATCAAATCATGCCCTCTTGTTGCATAAAATGACAAATTGGTTAGGTGGTTTTTCTTATCATGTACCATGTGGGATCGTTTCTTAATGAACATTATTTTTGTATTTACCATGTGAGAGAATAATATCGCCAATATACTATAGTGATCCTTTGGACTGAAAAAGTGAATAAATCCCTTCTTGTCTTTGGCGAGATTTTGATAGACTAAATGATGGAGTTTTCTCGGGCAAGCCGCCAACACCAAAAAGGCCATAAGGTTTTGTATGAATGCGGACTTGAAAAAGAACTCTGCTTCTAGAATTCAGATCAAGGTTGGCTAAATTGTAACTTCTGGAATTCTGAATGCTTGGCAGTTATTTTACTTCCATAATTCTTACAATCAAACTTAGAATTTGACTTAAGATTCATGTTTTCATTTTCTTGACACTGGCATAGGGAGTCTTTTTCAGCTTATTATTCAGTTGTCTGATTGCTTCCCCACCTCTAATCAGGTTACCTGATAAAAGTAATTTCAAGCAAATGTAAGAAAATTATGGTCATCGTGTGACTTTTGGCCTGAAAATAGAACTTCACTGCTAACAGCTTTCAAATGAGCAGCAAAGTGGCCACCAATTTCTGTCAAACTAGTAGCTCAGTATATGCTCTCTCTGATAAGGATGATTCTCTATAACATGTCATGCTCTAAACTATAAACTAATCATTTCTTCTTGCAGGTTGCACCATACAAGAAGATAAGACGAGTGGCTTTTATCAGTGCCATTCCAAAATCTCCTGCAGGAAAGATATTGAGGCGGGAGCTGGTCAATATTGCTCTCTCTGGTGCTTCGTCTAAATTATGATCCATTTTCTTAAAACAATAGTCGTTTGAGGGCCAAATATCGCAGGGAAATGCAGGTCAAAATTTTTATCATGTGCCCAAAGCTTGGATTAGTTGTCATCAGCTAGTCATAGATCAGAGTTCGATCAGATAGCCTTGAGAGGAGATTTCTGCAGAGGCTATTGATCTTTTGATGAATATCGTGTTATCTAAACATTATCACCTCAGCCCACATGAGGATTCCCATACCTGTAAAACAACTGTTCTGTTACGGTGCTACCCCTTTGGGATTATTAACGTTTCCTGTAAGTTACAGACCCTATGTAGTTGATTCGGACATCCAACTTTAACGTTGATGTTTTTGTTCATATTGTTTTTAATCTTGGGTAATAATGACACTCCCATACGGCAGGCACATGTATCAGGCATGGATGGTGCTTGGATACTTGATGCCCTAGTTATAATTATCATGTAACATGAAGGATTTGACATGATGGAAGTGGTGGTAGAACAGAATTGAAAGTTAAAATCCCTTACAGAATTGCTGGAAAAGAGAGGGTTCAATCACATCTCTTCTATGGTAGAAGCAGTTTTTATTCGTACCCCATCTGGTGTGATGATATTTGTTTCTGTTTAGAGGCATTCCTAACGCAATGTTTCTGATCAAGCAACTCTGATTTTTTTCTTTGATGAGGCCCTTTAAGCCCCTCTTGTCAATCGTCGTAGTGTTACATATAAACTAGCCAGTGTCTTGCAGTAGCGCGGATGGTACGGTATTTTAAATCCCTAGTTTTCTTTGCTATGTTATCTATAGGTTGGTATCAAAATGAAGCAGCTTATAATCGCACGGAAGCACAAAAAAAAAAAAAAGGAGACTAGCAAATGATGACTATATTTTCTAAGTCGTGGGTGCGCAATATTGATCGGCAGGAAAACCAAAGAACACCGACAAAAGCATGCCAGATACCTTCCTTCTCATGAATTTGGACCTCCACCGTGACAGCTTCTTTCGTTTGGCATAATTATAGGTATTTGTGTTGGGATTTACTGAGAAAGGATCAAATGATTAATCGACATACCGATCACAATATAAAAATCTAATATTATGACTTGTGAAAACAATAATTAACTAACCAAGTATAATAAATACAAATAATGAAAAGCAGATAATATTAGGAAGGTGCAAGTTGAATGGTAGGCAGGTTAGTGATCAAAATAAAAATAAATGAAGTTTTAAATGGCGTTTGGTTTGTGAGTGAGAGAGTTTTAAAAGAGATTTTAGAAGTTTTTATTACGGATCTCAAGTTGAAATCTCCCGACAATGAGGTGGGGTTGATATTTACGATAAATTGAGGATGACTTTTAACTCGCTAGGATCGTGCCATGTCATCCATATTTGCATGATCATATTTGAATTGAAGAAAGTTGGATTTATTTAGGTTAAACTTGCTTCAATTTACTAATGAAAACTAAATGAAGCAACAATTATAATTTCCTTAAGCGGTTTCTGCTCAAAGTCTACTAAGCCAATCTTCCTAATTCATTCAAAATATAAAGCATGGACATTGACCTTATTAGATTACCAATGTCCATACTCGTGGCCTAATGCCTTATGTTGAACCAGGCTCATTCTCAATCAAATTCATTTGTCGTGTAGCTTGGATACATGTCAAAAATAAATAAAAATAGCATTGATTAGTATATAATAAAAATTAGCTAAGTTAATTATTTTAGAAAAAATCGAGCTTATAAATTTAGTCTTTTGCACATACGAGTCTTATCGGTAGAGATATTTATGCAATCATTTATGACGAGATAGAGAAAAATAAAATTAAAAAAAAAAATAACTTGACGATGATTATGGTAGACTTGTCGTGAGTTTTTCAACACATAGAAAACAAATGCAAGACACATGCAACACACAGTAAAAAGAAAGGTGGAGCTAGATGCAATAAACAGAGTGATCTATACAATTATGGCCCACTTTAATGGCAGAAATGCTCTTCGGATTGATAGATCTCAGCAGTTACTAATGAATCTAAGATACCCAACCTTGTCACACTTTCGTTATTGCAAGGATGTGTTCTTCACCAGAGTCATGACAAGGACATACTGCAGAGCTGTTTACTGAAAGGACAAGTTCATTTTTGGACTTCCCTCATTTTTTGCAAAAAAGAGTTCACAATAGAATTAAAAATTATTATGGTGGAGTAATCCCTAACTTTAACCTCACCTATGGTGAACTTGTCGCTGAAGCTGTCAATGAAGGCATCAACCTGCGCAATGACATCAAGCTAAAGAGTTAGCTTGATAAATAGAAGAAAACTAACAAAAGGATGTTTGGTAACTTCTATGAACAAAATGGCTATTCTCAGCCAAAGATTTCTAATAAGAAATCCGATAAGAAAGAAGTTTCTGATAAGAAACATTATTTCAAGAGGAAATCTTCTAATAAGAAGAAAAGAAGCTAAGAAAAGTGCCTAGAAACTTCCATCTCTAAACCTAGAGTTAAAAAGTTTCAATTTGCTATAAATATGACATTACAAGAACAACTATTCAATTAAGAAAAACATTAACCAACTGGACATAGACAAAGGACTTAGACAAAGTCTTTTCTGAATTTTTCTTGAAGAATCAGATGGAGAATACTTAGTCCTCAATATTATAGAGGATTCATCAAAAGAGTATAATTCATCCTCATCCTCTAATGAAGAAGGAAAAACTTCTGAGCATCCTAGTGAGGATTGTAAAGAAGGATGCGATTACAACAATCGTCTCACTAGAGATCTCTTAAGTTAAGCATAAATGTCGTAACCTAAGAAGAGTCGCTCATCTTGGATCTCATTGACAAAATTAAAAATCCTAATGCAAGAAGAATTGCTTTTGAAAAAATACATTCACCTCAATTATATCACCCCAAAACCTCCCTCAAAGCTTTCTCTATAGAAACCTCAGATAAATTCTTATGTCTATCTATAAGAAATCTTATCTAGCGCCAAACACTCCAACTCCAAAGAACCAGCCATAGCTGAACTTAAAGTTGAAATCAGTAGAGTTAAAAGAGGAAACCAGAGAACTCAAAGCCAAAGTTTCTAATATAAAAACTACTTCAAGCACTAGTCCAATAGCCTGGCATGATTCTAATTCAGATGAAGAACCAAGATCCTTATCCCTAAATAAGAAGATAAGAGATGAAGCGATAGGAGTAGAGACTAATTCAGTCAATGTTGTCTCTAATCCAGAGATAAAAGATTTCATGTGGATTAATAAGTTAGACAGGGTAATAACCCAGAAATGGTATACACAAGTTACTATCATTATCAATAAGAAGTTCAGTCCTAAAACTAAAGCGTTAGTCGATTCTGGTGTTGATCAGAATAGCATATCAGAAGGTCTGATCCCATCAAAGTATTTCTCCAAGACCAGTCAAGTTTTGACGGCTACTAATAAACAGTCATTAATCATTGATTATAGGCTCTCCAATGCTGTTGTTTGCAACAATAGAGTCTGCCTAGACATGCCATTTGTAATGGTTAAGAATCTCTCCGCTAGATTCATCATAGGCAATCCATTCTTACATCTATTATTTTTTATCTCTAAGATTGATAAGGAAGGAATAACAGTTAGGGTAGCAGGATATCAACTGAATTTCAGTTTTTTTAGGCAGTCAGTCATCCATTGCATCAACTCCTTGCTATCGAGGAAGCAGAATTTCTTGTGCTCACTTCAAGAAGAAGTATCTTACAAGAAGATAGAAGTGTAGATATGTAATCCAGCTATCAAAAGAAAGATTGACGACTTGCAACTCCTCATCCAAAAGGAAGTTTGTACAGAAGTTCCTAATGCATTCTGGATCAGAAAGCAATATTCGGTCTATTTTCTTTATGAAGAAGGGTTTAAAGAGACCCAAAACGAGTACCCCAAAGCTCATAATATATATATATATATATATTCTACCATATTTAGTGATTGAATTTTGTTTGTAATATATTAAGAATGCTAGTATATAACGGGGAATGTTGTTAAAAAATGAATTAGTTTTTCATTAGATAGTATCAGCAATTATGCAATCTGATAAATGTTTTTGATGAATTTCAAGAACTAAAAACCAAAGGAGCATAGCCCTTTATTTTGTATTGGAATTGGGATTTAACAACATTGAATGAACACAAACTTGTCTGATATGGCACATGTCGGTTGGACTTATAATGTGTAGGTAATATGCAGTCCGTTCTTGTTAGAATTCCACACATCAATTTCACTTGAAAAGCAAATTGGAATGTTTACTATTTTATATAGATATAAATAGATAGATTAATACGAGCACATGTAAATTTCAAATAAATCCCATCTATGTAGGGACATTTTATTGAGTTTTCAACGATCCTTTTTTTTTGTTTTTTTTGTCTTAATTTGCTCCAAAGGTTCAGAAAATTTTCAATTGAATTCCCTTCCTTCTCATACATACCCATTCATGAAACCCATTCAAATTGCACAATTGTACATTAAAAAGGTTCTTTCTTTGAAAGGGGCTTCAAATTTTTCATTGAAAATTTGTATGTGAAGGGTTTCTGAAAATTTTCGGAATCCAAATGAAAATAATATATATCATTCGATGATTTAATTGATATTTAAGTCACAGCTTGCAAACGAATTTATGATTTGCCCCAAAAATTTCGTTGTCTTTGGATCACAAAGATTCATGGAAGAATTTGGCAGTTTGAAGGATAATGACATATGTAAGAAGAAGAGAAGCATGTTAATTAATAGTGGCTAGCTAATGTCACTTTCAGTCTCAGTTCACCCTTCCCATTCGATCTCAAAAGTGTTTGTTATCTGTTGACATGGCTTCAAAAGAGACACAAACCTAACCATCATGGCAAACTTTGACCGATAATTTCACTTACCGTAGGTTGTTCTATGGTCCCAATTCAAAAAAAAAAAAAAACCTATTCATTATTAGATTAAAAGTAATTCAGTTATTTTCTTGGTATAGAGAAAGGGGTCCATAGAAGATGATTAGGCCATACAACTTGAAAAGTGCGAGTAAAAATAGTAGAAAGGCTTGATTTAAGATACGAGAATATCTTTTCTTTGAAGAAAGCTTCAAACTTGAATATAAATTTTTCCCTATGTTCTCTTCACATCAACACAACATGCCAACATATGCTTCTAGGTTTCCTCACATCAACTTTTTTTTTTTTTTTTTTACATTTATTTTAAGAAAAGTAAAAGAACCTATTGGCAATGAAAAATATAAAATAATTAGTTTGTTCACTCCACCAAATTAGAGTAAATTATAAATTAGTCCTTTTAGTCTTATAAAATGAATTAAATTTTAGCCCAATCTCTACTGGAATTGCTTGTCTTCGTAAGAAATATCAAATTTTTATATTTCTTCTCTTTTCTATTTATTAAAACAAAAAGAAAGAAAGAAAATAATTAAGTTGCCAACAAATTAAAAAAGATTAATTAATTAATTATTGAAACCAAGCGAACTATGTAATCTATTTTGAAAAACTACAGGGACTAATTTATAAAATGAAAAAGTTGAACGATATGTATCCCTTGACCGTTAGGTTTCAAGTTTTGACTTGGGGCTCCTCCCAATAAACCGTCCACAGTCCATTCTGGGCGTCATCAGAAGCCCTGTCTCTATCTGTCACATATTCATGTTTCAGAATCTACAATTCCTTCAAGGCTTCAATGACGAAAAGATAAAAGGAGTTTTCCTCGTTTTGAAAGCAACCGAAAGTAGCCTCCAAGCTCTGAACTCTCTAATAATTTGCTTTTTAATTTTCGAAAAGTTTGACTGTAGATACCATAGCGTAAAACACGGACTCCAACAATATATAGATGCGCAAAACGCATGCGTCCGGATTCAGACAGACACTGTCCCCATCTCCCTCTCTCAAAACTGAAAATCCACCCAAAAAAACAAAAAAAAATCCTCACTTTCAGTTACTAAAAATGGCAGTTCGGTACTCACAAACAGATAACTTATCATCAGCAACACGAATCCCTCTCATAAATGAAGACCAAGAAGATGAAGGCCATCTTTCCAAATCTCTAAACCATTTAGAGACCTTTTTGAGGATCTTTGGCTTGTGTCAATACTCTTTTTTAAGTTTCACACTCTCATGGCTCTCTTTTTTGCTTCTTGGTATTGCTCTTCCTGTTGTGGTGATCAAGTATTTCTCCTACTGTCCTGACTGTAAGAAGTACCAAATTAGTAGCTTTGAGCTTCAGGTTTTGGTGTTTCAGTGTTTAGTTGCTGCCATTTCTTTTGTTTGTATTTCACATAGCTTGAGGAAGTATGGGGTCAGGAAGTTTCTCTTTGTGGACCGGTTTCATGGACATATGGCACAGTTTCGTGATGAATATGTAAAGAAGATCAATGTAAGCGAAACCCTTCTCTCTCTCTCTCTCTCTCTCTAAGTTTGTTGTAGTTGTTCTAGTGATCAAAGCTATGATCTTTTTTTTGCTAATTTTTGGTAATTGTTTTATTTGGATTGTTAAGATTCATTCTTGATGTTTGTAATTAATAGTCGTTAAGAAATCAACAGTATAGAAGTTGAAGGGATTTTAATGGGGTCAGGTTTTGACATTTAAGAAATACAACTGTGCTGTTTATTATTCTATCTTCATTATTTATTATATATATATCTAATTGGATTGTTGTCTCGCCCATTACTTGGAGATGATTTTTTAAGAAAGAAATCCAAATAAGAAATTAGCAATAATTGGATATTAATTGTGTTGTAGATTAACAATCAGATACATGAGTCCATTAACAAAGGGATCTCTTTTCCTATAGTTTCAGATTAATAAGAATCATGTAATTAGGAGTCGTGTTGTCAAATTTAATTGACCAGAGCTGGAGACTGCTTGTTCTTTTATTGGTATTTATGTCATGCACTTGTCTTCTGTTTATTATTTTATTTATTATTAATATCCCTCTTGGATTGTTTGATTGCTTGGAGATACTGTTTGGAAAAGAAATCCAATTACGAAATTAGGAATAATTGGCTGTTGAAGAATTGTGCTGTGGACTAATAGTCAGATAGTTGAGTCCATTGACAGAGGGGTCTTTTCTCCCACAATTTCAGATTAATCAGGATCATGCAATAAAATACCATGTTGTCCATTTAATGGACAGAGCTTAAAACTGCCTTTTCTTGAATAAGCTGAATTTATGTCATGGACTTGAGTGGAAGTTTTGATTCCTGCATAGCTTGGTAAGAAAATAGCGAAGAATTCTTCCTTTTGTATGTAGACTTATGTTGTAATCATTAAATTTTTGTACAGTTGTAGCTGTTTCCCTTCATTCTACGTTGGATAGATGTGTTCTGAAGTATATATGATTCATAGTTGTCCATTGATTTGGAAACTCTATATGTTCAGGGTTTCTTCCGGTTGTTGGCAGTGTGGTTGCTACCATTCCTAGTCTTGAAGATTGTCCGTGAGGCTGCTCGCGTAATATATATGCCACATCATTCTTGGGGGCAATCTGTTGCTATACCGATAGCTCTGGATGTCTCATGGTGCTATTCGATTACTATCTATTTATCAGGCTGTGCTTTATTTAATTTAGTATGCAATTTTCAAGTGATTCACTTTGAAAATTATGGGAAGCTTTTAGAAAGGGATTTGGATGTTTCGCAGTACATCGAGGAACACATTCGTCTGACACATTATCTGTCTAAGATAAGCCATCGGTTCCGAATATTTTTCATTCTTGAACTCTTGGTGGTGACAGCTAGTCAGGTCGTGGCTTTATTTCAAACTACATGGAATAGTGAAATTATCAATCTCGTCAATGGTGGTGATTTTGCAGTAAGTGCAAGAACCATTTGTTGATCCTTTTTCCTACTTAACTTAACAGTAGATTGATAATGAAGAAGCATCTTATTCAATTCTAAATTCCACCTCTTGCAGAAACTTGTGTTATGTTCAAACATGTCCATACCTTTTAACTTTAAATTAAAGCATTATGTGTAGATAACGTCCTTCAGTGCAAAACCATCTCATGAAATTAGTAAGAAATGGAGTACATGACTTCCAATGGGAAAGAAAAGGCTAAACTTTGACTATTCACAGCCATGCAAATTGTTGAACCATTCAACTCATAGCTTTCAAAGTTAGCTGAAAATTGTTGATTAATACACCAGTGAGATTATTTCCATGTGTTTGGATAGCAATTGTAGACTTGATATTCTTTCTTAGATTGCAATGTTGGTTGCAGATCTCTTCTATAGTTGAGCTTGTTGGGTTAGTAATTTCCCTGCATGCTGCTGCAAAAATCACACACAGAGCTCAAGGCATTGGATCAGTTGCTGCTAAATGGCATTCTTTAGTTACATGTGCCTCTGATGACACTTCTCAAGTGGAAATAAGCCGTAACGGTGGAAGCTCTGAGGCTGCCAATCTAGGCCACTTATTGCACATAACCTATTCAGAAAGTGATTTGGAAGCAGTTGACTATGTGCCAGTGCCAACTACTACCCAGCTGGCTTCATACATGTCCACATATCACAAGAGACAAGCTTTTGGTACGTATCTAAATCACTTGCAGTTTATGCTCTAATATTGCCATCTCTTTGTCATTGTAGCTGCACATGAAAATGCATTTCACATCAGTAATGAATAAGTTCGTCCTAATCCTAAGCTTTCATCAATTAGTTAGTAGCTAGTAGATTCATCATGCTAGAGGACCTCATTGCATGTACAAGTAAAGAATCTCTTACCACGTGAGACAGGTTCAACACCAACCAAGGCAAATTGGCAGTTAGTAGTAATTAATTTTATCAGCCAACACTCTCTAAACCATGTCATTATTTGGTGCATATTTTCACATCAACCTCTTACATTCTAAACACAGAAAGCTCCCACGGACAATACTTCTGAAAGATACCTGAACTGATAATAAACAGGAATATCAGGGAGTGCATTCGATTCTGCGGTTAAACATATAGGTGCAGATGCGGGTGGCATTGGCAAACCTTCGTTTTTCCTAGGAGGTCATTCAAGAGACAACCTTTTTAAGTTAATCATGATTGTGATGCTTATGCCAATTTTTAGATAGCTTGAACAGATTAGATTCATTCTTCTAACAAGACATTTCTGGCAACTGCTAAAAAATGAAGTTTTGTTCCTTCCTTGCATCATATAATCAAGATCTGGAATATCAAACGCAGCTAAATGAAACTATCAATATAATAAAACGATCATTTATACAATTTTTATGGCTTTTGTATCATTTCTTGTTCGGCATACTTGTGAAGTTTTAATGAAGCCCCCTTTTCCTCTGCAGTTAATTATTTGCAGTCCAATCCTGGTGGCTTTAGTGTTTTTGGATGGAGAATTGATCGGACACTCATCAACACTATCTTCTTCTTGGAGATGTCACTAGTCTTTTTTGTACTCGGGAAGACCATTACTATCACACAGCATACTGCTTGACAGCATATTTCAGCCTAATTTTTTTGGGGTAGATGGGCAGCATTATTAATACTTCCTAGATTCTGATATGTTGTTTGTGTAATTGTGTTTGATGTTTTTCAATGTTAGCAACCTTGTTTTAAAATTAGGTTGCTTACTACAGTCACCAAATTAGAGTCAATACTCTGATTTATAGGTGCCAATATTCTTTGTTCCGAGCACCTTCTTAATATTTTTCACGAAAGAACTCTTTGTGATGTGATGTCAGTAGCAACAGATCCCAGGTAAACTCATTTGTTGCTCCAGTTGAACTGGATTATCACAAATGATATGATAACTTGTAAGATGATACCCAGTTTTCTCATACTGAGCAGAGTCCATAATCATTGAAATATTCAGGTCCTTCCTTTTTTTGTTTTTGTTTTTGTTTTTTGTTTTTTGATGAATATTCAGGTTCATCTTCATGCCTGATTTACATTGCGGTTTCAATTTACTTCTGATCCATCCATACAGCTCAATGAGGTGTTCGTCACAATTATTGGACCTCTAGATTAGAGAAATCTTGCTCCTCCTATTTAGTAGCTCCACAGGAAATGAACAAGAGTACCACATAATTGATAATGGATGGTATTGCGCTTTTCCGCGATCTTAATCTGCATTTTTTTGAATGCAAAATCGTGTTTCAGGTGTCAAGTGATGCAACACAACCTGGTGTTTCAGAATCCTATGAAGCATGGTTCCTGAGAAATATAGCTGCCTGTACAAATATCATAAATTTCGAAGAATAGAAGCTAGAACTGTTCTAGCACTAGGTACAGAACATTGTTTCTAAAGAAAAAGAGACGAGAAAGTTGAAAATGCTAACTGAAAAATTTAAAAGTATCCACACGATGCTTGCTCCTCAAACAGAAGGGAATAGCACCTTTGGCCACGGAAAATTTTTTGTTCTACTTGAATTAGTTGAATAGCAGCATGGCCTATCGTTCTTCATTACCATGCTGTAAATCAGGAACTGGGAGAAGAAAGATCCAAAAATTTATGAAGTGAAATAAGGAAAGCATGCTCGTGTGCAGTTTTATTTTCATGTTCTGCAAGATCAAACCCCTTTGCTCACACACATGCGCAGCTTGTAGGGGTGAGTAAGCACATGCGCAGCTTGTAGGGGTGAGTAAGGGAGTTTGGGAGATTCCCTCCAAACCCCAAAAGTGTATGGGGAAGAAACCGGTGCATGAAGAAATTACCTAGAAGTAAGAAAGACATCGAGGAACCGAACAGGCTAACAAGCAGAGGATGGAGATGTCGTCAAAGTAAAAATGAAAAAGAGCAAGAGGGTAAGCCTTTCCACAAATTCTAGGAAGGGAGAAGACATACCAACTGAGTATCCGACCAAAAGAATTGAAGAAACATGGTAGCAAAGCAATTGCAAATTCTATAGAAGCCATCAGTGAAGGGAACTGAACTTGGAAATTTAATGTCAAATCATATGAGACGAGCGGACAAACAAAACATACATAAATGCAAAGTTGTCATAACAAGTTGATAACTAGTAGAATCATCATACTCGATTTACTATATTGCATGTACAAGCATAGAACCTCCTACAGCGTGAGATAGGATCAACAACAAGCAAGTGAAGTCTGGCATATCATATCAAAAAAAAAAAAAAAAAAAAAAAAAAAAAAAAACTTATTACTATTCATTTATTGTTTGTTTACATTCGGATCTACTATAAACCAACATCCGTTGCTACTCGTTTTTACCTCTCGGCCGTTGATCTTCTATCTTCTCCTTTTACGGCCGTTTGATTTTGTTATTTTTATAGTTTTGTTTTACAAATCTGATTGGTTAAAGAGAGATAATATAATATGAACAACCAATAGATTATTACCACGTCATCGGATCTTATCTCTAATAGTTTTCAATTCATTAAAATATAATATGCTTCTCTCTCTCTCTCACATCTACAATTCGAGTTTTCAATTCATTAAATAAACAATACTTTTCTCTCTCATCTCCAATTCAAAAAAATAAAAAATAAAAAATAAAACCTCTCTCTCTCTCTTTCTCATATATGCGCGGCTCAACAAAAATATCTTTCTCTCTTGCTCATATGTCTCCGACTCAACAAAAATTACTCATGTCGATCGTTGTGTGGCTGACGATAGCGAGTGGTGTTGGCAATGAGTTTTGGTGGTTGGGGTTTGGTATTGAGGAGGGTAGCGGGGCTATTGACGATGGGTTTTTATGGTTGGGTTTTGGTGTAGAAAAGGATAGTGGGTGTTGTTGCTAATGAGTTTGGATGGCTAGAGTTTGGTGTGGGAAGATCGAGTGTGGCTAGAGTAGTTTTTTTTTTTTTTTAGCCTAGAGAGGTTTTTATGAGATGGGAGAAGGCTATCACTATAGTTGAAATGGAGAAGAGAAGCCTTTATTTTTTGTAGATCTAGCTATGGTTCTACTTGTTGGCGGGTAGATGAGATGGAATCAAACCTTTTACAAATTGGATCATTACCCCTTGCATTGTCCTCTTTTTTTTTTTTTTAATAATTTGTGTTACGATCGGTTATTATCGTATGTTTTTTATGGTATATAACAACGCGAGTGGTGTAAGTATTGTTGTTTTGTCTCGCAAATGATTTGTTCTTGATATGGTGTCATTTGGTCTAAATTTGCATATGAGAAAATATAAATTATCCTTTATAACTACTTCTTTCTTATTTGCACTTGATTGGTGTGTTTGTCGTGTGCACCCAAATTAAACTCTTAAACTCCTACAATACAAATGTAGTAAGGGAGAGTAGAGATCGATTTCACGAGGAATTCAATCGTGTTAGTCGTCACAAGTCTAGAAGAAACATGAAATAAATAAAAAGGAGGGTTTTGATTTGATTGAGATATAACCGAAACTAAACAAATTAAATTCGGAAAATGAGTTTAAAATAAAGATTCAAGTAAACAAACCTTGGTTCGGGTCACATCCACTTGTGGAACTTGAGATTTATCCTTCGTGCAAGAAATATCGATTCTCATTCAAATATTTATTGTGATATTGAAATCAATATTTCCTTACGATTAGCCAAATAGAAACATGTATTCTAATCAACCCTCATTATTTAACAACCACTAGATACGATCTAAGATTTAATCAAACAATGACTTTATGTATTAGAAAGATCAACAAAGCAAGACAACACAACACATGTAACTGCATTTAATCTAGTTGAACAATCCTCCTAAGAGTCATTAGTTTCGACGCAACGAAACCATACACTCTTAGTTGCTACACAAATCAAAGGGATTGAACAATTACGGATTCAATATTCGATCTAGCTATAGATTATCTAAGTTAATAAACTAACTGTACACATTAGAAATTAACCCAAATAATCATGAAAATAAGCATATAAGAAAGTTCAATACTTGAAATAAATAAACCGATTTGTAGTAATGTTTAAGCACCTCAAAATCTTTGATTTCCAAAAGCTTCGATTACCTTCACCATGGAAAAGAATTTAGCTTCTCATGACAGTCGCCATAGTAAGAGAGAGAGAGAGAAATAAAGCCGCCTATACTATGAGAATAATAAAAAAGTTGCTGCCCTAGTCTCGCTAGGTTCCTATTTATACGGGTTGTCTATTTTTCAAAAAGGGTATATAATATTCTCTCCTCTTTTGGTAGGTCTGGCGTCTTTTTACGGCAAATCGTAGCAATTTTGTTTCTTTTCGAAGTACGTTGTGCTGTTTCGTGGATTTCGGCGTGCCCGTATCAAGTTGCAACGTGCCCACGCCTTCATGTCCTCGTGCGTCTATGTCTGCTGCATCTGCGTGCCCATGCTTCTTGTGTTGGTGTATCCACGTTTGCTGTATTAGCGTGCCCACACTACTATTTTTAACGTACCCAATCTTCTTATGCTTTCCGATGGCTGAATTGATTCGATCGTAAATTCTCTTTATATGATTCTTTTAATGTCATTTTTCAATCATTTCCACACCTAGCACATAGAATACAAAAATAGTTAAGGTTTATCATTTGGACATCTCAAAATGTTAAAATGTAGGAAAATTTAGCAATTTAAACACACGTTTTAAGCATTATCATTGATTACGGTGTCTTATATGGTAAATATATTGCTTTTGGCACAATAGCATCATTACACTCTCCATCTTTCTTGATTGCTTGATTTTGGAGGATAAAGGCCCATCGTTGGGCAAATCACACAAGCATAGAAAAAATTTCTATTGTTAATAGTCTAGTTTTTTTTTCATTTATTAAAGTTTTATTCAATTTGTTTAGGATAATTTGATATCGTACGGTTGCCACCAATGTGACAACCCAACCCGATACCTTGGAACTAATCAAATTGTGATCCATGTTCGGATCACATAGGTGAATACCAAGTGGGACAATCTACATTTTAAAAGTTATGATTTGTGAAATGAATCCCGAGATTCATCCGAGTTGGAATAGTTGAAATTTGGATAAAGTCTAAGTGTGAAGAAGCTTATTTAAATTGTTCATAATTTATGGTTTAAATCCAAGCCGAAGTGGAGCTTTAACTCCAGTATGAATTATTTTAGATGTGAGTTTGTTTATTTTTATGATACACATTGTTGGTACTATGTGACATTTACAAGCATATATATGAACTTATTTCATTAATACTCCAGACATTGCCTTTTAAGTCTGTTTTGTTTCCAAGAAACTAATTTTCCTTTCATTTTCCAATACAGTCTCCCCAACATATCTTAATGAAACTCTTTGCTCCATACGAGTTGGCGAGCACTTTGATAATGCATCGTGATAAGTAGATTCAATTTTTTTTTTTAATTATAACCAATGCATGACTTGACATTTATTTTTCTTTTAGTTGTTTATTCCTTTAGCATAATGAAATGAACCATCCTCGGATCACTTATTAGCAATAAGAACTTTGTGTCAAATAAGTATGCTACATTTTTTTTATATTATAGCATAATGGTGATGGAGCTAATGCTCGATTGAACATTAAGAATGTAGATGTGAAA